GGTGTTCGTGAACAAATGACGTTCATGAACTGTTCTCGACTCAAACAACTATAAATTACATATTATATATATAGAGAGAATTATTGAGAGATTGACTTAGTTGTTTTTGTTCCCCATGTTTGGAGGAAAGCTTTTTCGTGCTTGTTTGTGTACCAAACATCCAAGATCCTCCAAGATCATGTCCAATGTGTTCGTTGGGAATTTCAATGAATTTCACTTGGTCGCCTCTCTCTTTAGGACGTTTGGGCAATTCTGCCATTTGCTTCTCGCCGCGATATCCTTCGCAAGCCGCACTTCGCAAGCCGCTCCCCTTCCGCCACGTGTGCTGTGACCCGCACGTCGCGGTTCCCTTCCGCCAGGTGGAGTTCTTTGAGTCGGAAGGATGTTTCTACCACTGGGCCTGGGAGGAGATGCGTTCCGACGACGGTTCCGGTTCCGGCCCCAAAAGGTTCCAGGCGCCGAATGCCGCAGGAGAGCTCGGCAAGAGAGTCGTCAGGTCCGGTGTCGTGTGTTTCACAAGGTCAATTGCCATGTGTGTACATGTGCACGTTACGTGCTTAGACATTGTCATCCCCACATGTCCCCAACTGCGTCCAGCTCCTGCCAGGCATGATAGTTGATAGAGTAGTTGATAGAAACATCATGTAGAAACCCAACCTCGGACCCCTGCCACCAGCTCCATGTGCATTCCTCGATCTGCCAGAGCTCGGACAGACAACGGTCCGGGCCGGACAGACCTACTTGGCCGACTAAGTGCTGTGGATCTACACATTCCACAAGTAACATTGTAGTAGCATATTAATTACACTATTGCAGGTGAATGACATGTGTTCATCCCTGGAAAAGCAGCAAAGGCATCAATCCAACTAGTGCATATATATATATATATTATATATATTTTGTATTATGTTGTACATATATACAGTACCTTATTTGTACACGAGCATTATGATCCTCGTTGATCCTCCTTTGCCAACATTGGAGGAGAAACCTGACTTCATCGTTTTCGGCTTCCTGCTGATTCATGTGGCCATGATCATCTCCGAGGCGGAGCGATGGTCTTCACGGTTGGTGTGGGTGAAATGCTCATGTGTGTATCCATTTGGAGCTTCCTTCGCTACAAAAAAATCACGATCGATCATTTAAAAAATGTGTTCGTTCAAGCAAAAAACACTACAAGCCGGTACAATCATCGCTCAAAAAACGCGCATCGGACCCTCTCATACACAACCCATTTGGGGACGTGCCTCCATAGTGCACACAACACACCCACACAATGGAAGACACAAGTAGGGAAAACATCTTTGATAGAATCGACTTGCTTGGTGTGGTTTGCCTACTTTTTCCAGTTACGCGCATTGTGCGAAGTTCCGTTACACCGTTGGGCGCCTTGGGCCTTATCGACCTACAACCCCGATTCAGAGCTGGACGGGCCAGTGGACCTCCAGACACTCCAGTCTTCAGCATCTCAAGAAATGCTCAGAACTCTTCAAAGCCCGAAAAAAGCAAGAGTCCAAATGTGTTGCGAACCCGAGGTTCGCCAAAAGCATTTGTCACAGATGAAGGTTCACGCATTGTTTTGGGGATTTGTATGGTGAAATGCTAGAGTGGTCATGCAATGTGTAGCGATGTGTAGTGACTTGTGACACGGTTTCAGTGCAATTGTGGTGCAGTATTAAAGTCTCCAAATGTGTGATTCCTTGTGATTTGCATGCGGTAATAAAGTCTCATGTTACATGTTGGTTGTGTATTGCTTGGATGTGTGATGTTTGGATTCACAAACTGACGCAGTTCCAGTGACATGTCAACTTATCTTCACCAGTGGCCCGTGCTTGGACTATCTGGAGAACAGAACGCAACTGCTGACCTGCAGTGTCACAAACCAACACCTCCCTCTCGGCCACCGTAAAGTAGAGTTTGCATCAGTTTCCGTACGAAAGATGGTTTGCAAAACTCGTTGTGCCAACTGACAATCCATGAGAGTTGCCGTAGGACATGCAACAACACGTGCTCGAGAGAAGAGTTGTGAAGCAGGCCATGGAGTATCACAGTGCACGACAGAGTATCACACCTAGCAACACATCAACAGCACGATAATCCCTAGGGCTCCAACTATCTCCTGAGAAGGTGGTTGGGGTGCAGATCACCACTCATCAGATCACAGTTCACCATCAAAAAATAGCGTAATAGCAACAATCAGGATGGGTTGAAGTAAGGATTTCTGTTTCCTCCATGTGCACATCGGCTTGAGGTTGGGCGGGCACTCCTCATGACGAAATGAATGGGATGGAACAAGGTAAATGATTCGGTACAACTTGAAGATGTTCACTTCTGCCGACTTCTGCCCACTTCTGCCTCTCTTCTGCCACCGTGTTTGTTCGTTTCTTGCGGTTCGAAACGGTGACCGGTAAGGCCGAAGCCAAGCACCGGCACGAGGCCTTGACGATCCCTGTGGTGGGCTTCATTTTTCAGCCTCACCGGGAGATCGAACCCTTCCTGGCCGGGTCGGAAGCCAAGGCATAGCCTATGGCAGGCACTTGTCGAGCCATCATAGAACCCATTTGACCTTTGTTTTGATAAGACCATGTTTTGGCTCCAAAACAGGAGTCAATCAGGTTCTAGGTATATATACTGTAGATGGAATGGAATGGTTCACCGGGGGTGAGTGGGGGGCAGCAACTGGGCATCCAGACCTTTCCATGATTTCCATGACCATCGGTAACCACCTGGTGTAGGTGTTGTCCATGTTGATCAATCCCCTTTTGGGGACACAAATAAATTTATGCCGGATGGCTTGCTCGTGTCGGTGGTGTTTGATTGAAGCACGGTGGCTTGGTTATTTGTGCTTGGACTCTTGAAAGGTGGCCACGGATGTTTGTGTTTCATGGGCCATGCTTGGTTTTTTGTTGTCAGAACTAATTGTATGGATTGATGATATTGAAGTTCGGCGATCTTCCTGGTTGGGGGGTGCCAGTCTAGACCAGTTTATGTACTGTACAAGTATGTACAACTGCCAGCTGTGTTGAAACTGTTTCCGTGGCCTCCAGTGATCGTCTGAGGGAAAACACGGAATTTGTCGAATATGACTTACTTTCCTGCGGCGTAAGAAAAATAGCAACGCTCAAGCTTCGGACAAGACGATCATTTGGTCGCACTTGTCCCCAGGTTCCCTTATCACTTATTATTGACGGGAATCGGATTCCTGACATGCAAACAGCACTGGATTGTGGTTGCTGCCACTCTGGGAAGGATCATCCGCTGAGCATTTTGCTTCAATCCCAGCTGCATCCCGCTCCGTTGTGATGGCAATGCCACGCATTTTGACACAGTTTGCGCAGCTGGCGCTGCTGCAGCTGGCGTATGGACGGGAAATCAAGGCACAACTCAGAGAGCGACAGACTGAGGTTTTCGTCACGGATTCTGTTTTAAGGATTCAGTATGCAATTGCAGCACCCTTCCACCCACTAACGGCTAACGATAATACTATTGTGTTTGTTGTCTATTATTGTAGAGAAACGTCTTACCATTTCGTGATCTCAAAAGTTTGAAGAGAGTGATCAGAGTGATGAAAGGATTTGCTTGCTTTTTCAATGCTAGCATGGACTGGGAGTTCCACCGCTTGACCAACAAAAAGGTAGGCTTCCTTTTCGCCGCTCCACATGCCGGATCCCTTTTCGGTGCCGAAGTGCGGTCGTTGTGTTGTTCGGAGTCACCGATGTGACCCGCAGAGACGTGTGGAGGAGCGACGGAGGTGCTTCCAGGGAGTTCCTGTGTCTTGTGTTGGAGGAAGGTGAGGCTGGCTGCCAACCTCAAGCAATCTCAAGAACAAGGGAGAAACAGTGTATCTACCAGAATGGACCATCGTACATCGCAGTAGCTGTGCTGTCCTTTCTCGCGCACCGCGAGGTCATCAACAAGTGTAAGGAACCGTTGTGGCCGCTGGACGGAATGGACGGGAATCCCGAAGAGTCAACGGGATGCTGAAAGGAGACAGTGTCAAGACGGCTTAGAGATGGGTGACCCAAGCCGGGTGGCTTGTGTCCAACACTTGTGTCCAAGTGGACACATGACATCTCCTGACTGCAAATTGAGAGGTCCCACTGATGTTATGATATGTTATGATATGATTCTCATATGTGTGTATGTTATCCAACATATATGAATTGGGGATCCAGTGAAGCATCTTCGGCGGAACTGGACCACCAGAATTTGGTACACAGGGGTGCATCAAGCCGACGCACAGGGCTGGCTGTTGTGTGGTGGTGGTTTGGTGGCTTTCAACGATGCACCGCACCTCAAAAGCTTCGCCCTTCAAAAGAACGGAAATCCAGTGGTTGTTATTTTTCCAATTGTTCCTAATTACACGTACTGAGGTTCTCCAGCAGGTTACCCGACAAACAATCCAGAACCAATGTTGGTTGGGATGGCCCTTCTCGAGGAGACACTGCAGGTCAACAACTCAAGTCACCACCTGGCAGACGGTCAGACACTACAGTGACCACGCACCCGTCACGACGCTGAGGCTGGGCAGCAACTTGCCACTGGAGGCCTCGCAAGTGGAGTTGAAGCCCAAGACTGAGGCGCCGCCCAAGGGGCAGACCTCGGTGGCAGCAGGTTGGATATGTGATTGAGGTGAGGGTTCTTTTGCAGGGTGGTGTGCAGGGTGGCATAAAAGCTTGACCTGGCAGGTCTGGAAGCTTTCACCAATCAGATTTGGGATGTTTGAGAAAGATCCGTACCGTGCAGGATCTTGCAGGTCAGTATAACTTTCCCAAACTATTTGGAGCTTCCCATGCCACTTCTTTGCCCCAACGGCGGCACCGTTCAGGTGACCCTCACTGCAGACGTGAAGTCTGCACGAGTGTGGGCATCTCATTTGCAGTGGAAGAGACGGCATTTTCCCAGGGCACCCTGGTGACCACTGCCTGGGCCCCTGGTTTTTTTTGGTGCTTCGTGGAGACCCCGAATCACCCGAAGCACGCCTTGTCGTTTTTTCGGGGCTATGGAATGCTACACCCTGGCCGGGAAAGTGCGGCAACACAAGAAAGCAAGCGATTGGACCCTGTGCCGGGGTGGTGACTGAAGCTCTACATTTATGTCGATTCCTAAAACCCTTTGCCAATGGATTTGGTCCTAGCGGACAGACCCCGTTGGAGGCGTCTCAGTTGGCACAAGAAGCCAAGGGCTTTGAAGTGATCCTACCCTCGTTGCAAGATCAGATCAATTCCATTCATTTTGACCAGTTTTGTTTGTTTGAGAACCCCTATAAGTCCACTTCCTTCTGTCATTCCTCGTTGCCTTGTCGTATTCTTGTTCATCATTTCTCCAGTCTCTCCGTCGCCCTCGCTGCCTCGTCCTTCACCACGTGTCACGGCTTGTGAATCCCGAGGCTCGCAGCAGTTGCTCGGAGGAACAGATCTTGCCCGACTGCTGGAAGGCCCGGATAGGGTGGGGGCTGAGTGTGATGGCATCGCTGGGGATAGGGTGGGGGCTGAGTCAAGGTTGGGAAAACAAAGAAGAAGGTGTTGTGGGCGACCTCGGAGTGGGTCCACACCGCAGCAGTGCTTTTTGGGGTCTCCGACTGAACCTGGCCCATGCAATCCTGCGCGCAGCACGCAGGATTTGAACGTGGACCCCATGTGCGGTGCTGGCACCTTCTACTACTGTGACTTGACTGCAAATGGATGGCACCCTCAGGATCCTCAGGTCCTTGTACAACAAATCTAACAGAATCATACAGAATCTAGCAATACATTTAAGACCGTTACCGCCTCCTCCGAATCCAGTACTGGATGGGGAGGCACCAAGTGTGTTTCTTTTCGTTTTTCATCGTTGTTCATCCAGCCATTGACAAACCTGGTTCAAAGCTTATGACTCCGCTAAAGCTTACCAATCTTTAACCTGACTGCGAAGAATCGTTCCAGTGGACTTTCCAGTGGTTGCTTGGACCACCTGTATTTTTTCTCTGTCCATCCAACCACCCATCCGTCCAATTGATGCGTCAATGCCAAACTATACAGCTTCGTCTATGCTAGAAGCTGCATGTTCATGCAGCTTCTCCAGCTTTCCTGTGGTCCATGGCTTCGCTCCGATCCCACGGTGGCGACCGCTGGTCCGCTGGTCCGCGACCGCGACCGCTCGAGGTCAGGACGACGCCACGGATGCGCCGGGCACCTGCCGAGAACACGCCAAAGGACCCATCCCCAAGGAGCTGCTGGGCTGAGCCCAAAAAGAGACGGGCGAGAAAGACTGGGCGTTCATGTGGTGTTTATATCTGGTGTTGATTGTGTTATTTTGTTGATTTTTTTCCCACTTGGGTTGATATGGTTGATGACAAGCAACAACTTTACAAAACGAGTCCGGACTTATATAGATAATCAGATAGAATTCGTTGGAGAGGTCCCTGAGCTCACACTAGAACCTCAGGACTCGGACGTATGAGATGTTGACAAAGAATGATAGGGCTTGGGAGGCCTCAATCCTTGGATGTCCGTCCTGTTGTTTGGTAGCGGTGGTCTTAGCCTTACTGGTCGATGTTTGCAGAGACTTCTTGGAGGGAACAGGTACTGTTTCTAGAGCCTCACATCCCAGGGCTGGAGTCATTTTGACAAATACGCCATGCACATGGCAGGGAAACAATGTGTTCATCATGAATTCAACATTACTTTAGAATCTTGATATATTCTTGATATATCTTTATGTCCGGAGTGATCTGGGCATGTTTAATGGCTTGAGACCAATGGACATGATGTTACGGCTTGAGGTTGCTGAAACTCGGATTTCAGAACCCAGCAACAGCACAAACAAATACCAGATATCACAACCACAATATCAGGCGTTATTGCATGCAATGTAGTTTGACATCCTGGGAGCGTTTTTAAATGTACATTCACCTTTAGGTCAAGTGCCGCTGAACACTTGTTGGTTTGTCAATGACCTCATGTGCTTCTCTGAGGTCTTGCCTCCGGCAGTGCGTCATCACCCAGTTTTTCGAGGAGAAGAGCTTTCTCGCGGCCCTGCAACCCAAGAACACCCCACTCGAGGACGCCTAGCCGCCTTGGGAGGGATAGGAAGCCGTCGACTGAGCGATCTTGCGCAACTGCGCTGCCAAAACGGCCGCTGGCTCGGTCGCCTGGGCACCTGGTGGATGTAAGACCATTCCTGTAGAATATACCTGTTTTTCCCTGACCTTTCAGGCGATCTGAAAGAGAGAGAGAGAGAGGCCCACACAGGACAATTGCATTTAGATTTTGTGGGTTGAAATGCAATCTATGTCACTTTTGGCTCGATGTTTGGTGAGATCGCCTCCAGGCACGGGTGAGAAGCTGACATCTTCCATCCGTGCGGAGTTCACTCGCACAGCTGCGACGGCGCGCGCGATAAGGATCTGAAGGTTCAGCAATTCCAATGCAACACTGGCGACTGTGTTCAGGAGCCTGGGCACCACACAAGTAGTTGCGCCGTGGGGGTGCAGAAAGGGGCAGAAGAACGTAAAGAATCCCTTCCAAGGAGACAAGTAGCACGTAGCATATAGTTCAAAGGGAACACAAACTATTGTAAAATCAAGACAACGTTGCTTTGAGGGGCTCTCCGATGCGAGGGATGACCGGCTTCATATACCAAGAGTTGGCTGCACAAATGCGAGGAAGTACACAGGTTGAATTCTTCCAATTTGGCTCTATATGTGTTTGCTTGATTTGGTCCATCTTGAGGTCTCCTGTTAGCGGTCCCTCTCTCGAACCAGGCAGACAACAAGGAGTCTGAGAAGGTTTGCTCACAAACCTCGGAGTTGAAGCTCGACCATGAATTGCCGAGTTGCTGCTTTCAGAAGGAGATCACTGCTAACAAATGGTACATCATGCTCTAGAACATTAATATATTGAGTTGATGTCCTTTTCCAGGTGTATACACATAGAATCTGACGACGTTTGTTGCTGTCAGATTTACATCCACTTATCAAAGACTGCACTTTCTACTTTCTACCTTTTCGACCCCATAAAAGATCGTTTTGTTGAACGTCACTGGGTGTCAAGAAGTGCCGATGATGTGAGCGCTCAAAAAAAGAGGGTCTCAGAGCACAAAGGTTGTTTGTTTGCCCCGGCTCTCACCCAGTGGAAGAAAGACATGTAATTATACAGATCTATATCTAAAAATGATCTGTATATGATATGTATATATTTATATATTGCATATATTGTGGTGACAGAGATCATCTCAGAATATCTCAGACCTCTGTGGGATCATTGCCCCTAGGAGCCCCCAAGACAGATCCTGAGTTTTGATGGTCGTGTTCTTTCGCCCGGTAGTGTCCACGGCAAGACAAATAATTTGAGAAAGATTTCGAGCCGTCCAAGGATGTTCTTGATTCTGGACGCAGGTCCTCAGGAATTTGCTCCTCCTGTTGCACCAATGGGTTCTTCGGTCATCTTGCCCTGTTTTCAAGTTTCAGGTTTGAACACCATTTTGTCTGGTTCTTCAAGTTCGCCGCTTCACGGAACGAGGCGAACACCTGCCACCATGGCCCAGTTCACCTTTGACGAGACCGCAGAGACTCGGATGTAAGAGCGGTACGCCGAGGGACGGCGATTGCCGAGCGGTATGGCATAGCTGAGCATCAACAGGTGAAGTGAGCATCCTCAGGATTGAACTGCTGAAGGAGGAAAACCCATGGAAAACGAGGAGCATCGAAAAACACTGAAAACTGTATGGTTTTTGGGGTTTCCAGGTTTCGCTTGGGGGGGTCTGAGTAGTAGTTAGAATGTAATACGATGGTTTGTTGTCGAAATGTGAATGAACAGCTTGGATGCACCAGGGGAGATGACTGGCTGTGGCAGGAGCTTGCTCTGAACAAAGCAGGCAATGAGGGCAAGGTCATTGGAGCATATGTCAACTATGGTCCAGAGGCTGTTGCGCAAAGTCCAACGATTTGGGCTTGCTCAGACATCCCAATCTGTCCACCTCAGCAATGCTAATAACTCAAACAATATGTATAGACAATTGACCTAGCCTCTAGTCTATAGTACTATAGACACCTCCTCGGCATCCCAGCGTTCCCCTTCACTCCAAAGGCCTCCTTCGTCCGACCAAACAAGAAAGCCCTTCTCTTTGACGTCCTGCGCAGTCAGGATCGTTATGACGTCTCTGTGGAAGACGGCTTCAATGTGACGATGGCCGCAGTGGAATCAACAGCAAAGGATGGTGAGGAGTAGGCAAAGGGATCAAGTATTGGTCTCTGGTTTTTTCTCCGATGGTGTTCCATGGTCCATGGATTTACTTCAAACATTATTTTGGTATGTGTTTGTTGTAATTCGCTGGTATATAGATGAAATCCTAAATCACTTGACCCTCAGGAAATCCATGTTGGAAAGATGGAACCCAATGTATCACGAATGTTGCCCCTGATGTTCGGATCCAAGGTGAACATGACCGTGGAACCCACGGCCAAGAGCTGCAAGTCTAGTAGCTGCCAGACACATGGCCAGTAGATGTGGGGTGGTGAGGCTGGAACGACTGACGTTTGATCAGGTGGTTGTGGATGGCTAAGTATTGCTCGTGATTGTTCAAACAATTGGCAACCCATGATGCCATGGCAAATCGGTCGTTTGCTATTTGCTTTCTAGGCTCTAGACATTGACAGAATCGGCTTCAGTGTTTGTTTCTTCGCGGGGGAAAGGTTCAGAAAGTGGATTTTATCAAGAGCTAGTATTCTACTTATATGCTACGACTCAATGAGGTTCCCGGTCAAACACAAGCGAGGCTGGGCAGTGAGATATCCTGAAAGGATCCCACCACATGTCGGTGGCACATGGAACTGCCATGAGCTGCTACATGATCTATGAGGAACAGGGAGGTGTCCCACTTCTCCCAGCAAGTTTGCAAGTCTAAAGTGCAGACAAAGACCGCCCGCGCGACCTCCAGGACGGCAGCATTCAAGCTGGAACCAACAACTTGGAGAGTGAAGTTTAGGCAGTCTAAGGTTTCACCGGCTTCAGTGATTCGGATCAAGTGACGCGACCCATTTAGTATATCCAGAATGTTTTTTCAAGATTTCAGAGTTCCATCAAAAAGACACAAGTTTCTCCAGGCGTCTCCATTTCTCATCTTCAAGTGGCTCCCCATTGGTACTGTAGCCTATTCTTTGACATGTCACTTCGTCCCCATCCCATGTGCTCCGGCCCTTCACCCCACCTTCACCCCATGGGTCAATGGGTCGTCAATGCGTCATGCACCCACCCACCGCTATCATCATACCGAAACTCGGTCGTCCTGAGTTGCCCTGGCCCGGCCGGTCCGCCAGACCGCGGAAGCCGAGGATGGACCCCTGGTGGGACTGTCAGTCCGAGTTCGTGGACTTGGATCACGCGACTCGGCGAGGATTCTGCAGCTGCGGAGAGAGAGGGAGCGGGGGTGCTTTCTGCGGAACGGTAAGGGATGGAAGGGTCACGACGGCATGTTATATATATATTATATATCTATAATACTATAATATATGTGGAGCATATATTATATTTACAATATATGCATTAATATGTATTATAATATGTAATATATTGACAATACACTGTACATGTGTATACTGTAACGTGGAGCATCGCCTGGAGAGTGGAAGCTGTGCGTGGAGAGGGATGTTCAGGCAGGTCAGGACCTCAGAGGACGGGGGCTCCGGTGCAGTCGATCGGGGCAGAGGAAGAAAAGGATGATGTGATTCACTGAGTAGCTGTGCCTGGAAACCATAGCCATTGCCTGGAAACCATAGCCATAGCACATTCGATTGATCAAACACGTTGCTCGTTCCGGTTTTCGGGAAGGTCTGCAGCCTTCTTCCTTGCAGGGAGAGGGATGGACAATCTGTTCCGGTTTCACCGACGGGCTCGAGCGAATCAAGCGCACTGGAACTCCTTAGGTCTACAGAGGACCAGCGAGTTTTACGAAGTTCAGCTTGGGGGTCTAAGTGAATCTTGTTATATAGATTGGGTTCAAGTCGCACCTGACATAACAGATCATGACAGTTTGAGACAGTCAAGGACCTCACATAGTGCAAAGTTTCCACTTTACAAGACTATATAGTGCTTGTGATGTGTGTCATGCAAGTTGGTGTAAGTTGCCAAGGAAGTCCCTTGAAATGGGCGAGGTCTTTTGCCTGAACAAGGTGTGCAAATGCTTTTGGATCTTCGGACAAAAACAGCGTATGGAAGGTCTATCAGCCTATCAGCCCCAGTCAGTCCTCCAGTCAGTTTGCTTCACTGTTTGAGGCGAGTGGCCAGTCCTTCTGCTGGTCCATCAAAACAGCCTTGACATCTCCAGAAGTGCTTCACAGGCCAGGAAAATGGGTACATCGTGCAGATGTTGAGTTTTATGGGTGTTGCCATGGATCTTCATAAAACAACAATTTGGATGTCCTTTTAACATGGTGCTGATTCTGAAGAAATGCAGTTGACACCTGAAGACCTGCCAATGTGAGTTGAGAAACCAAAAGGTGAGGCAGCTGTTTAATTTCTGATTGTTACAACTTTAGAGATATTAAATAATCACCCATTGAATCTAGGATGTCCTGGAGCCAAGACACCCAAAATGCACTGACAGAAGGAATCAATGATTAGCAAACTGCTGGGAACCGCTTGGTTGCCAGAGACAGTTTGTATATGCGTGTGTCAGTGTTCTTCTAAGACTTACCTGCAAAGAATTCCTGACATTACAGTGGGATTGATTGCATTCAGTTTAGGAATGCTGTGCCTGACTGCACATTCTCATTTACTGTATGTCTAGTTAACTCGAAAAGCAAGGGCACATGACGGGATTTTTTGCCATTCTCTCATAGCAAGACTATGTGATAGCTTTGCATGTTGGTTCCTTCTTCATCCTTCTTCCACGTTCGCTCCTTTGCTCCGAAGACCAGGTATTCCTTCATGGAGAAGTGGACCGCGCCCGGCACCAACCCTGCTGCAGCCAGGCTGGGAAGAAGCAGAAGAGCTGCTGAGCTGAAGCCACGAACTGTCCGACCTTCAAACAACTCCACAAGTCCCTCCGCTCCACAGGACCATGTTGAGCCACAACCCGACATGATTGATTAGGAACGCAGGTCCCACTGGATTCGGTCCACATGGCTTCCTGTCCCCTCCTTGGCCAGGCCCAGGCCCCGTCTCGTATGCTGTCGGGCATGGCCAGGTGCCTGGTGGAGGGCCACGAACATTGGTGTCACAATCTCTTCACATGCACCGACGAGGCCGGCCATGCGCCGGCCATGCGCTTGGAGCAGAAGGGAGAGAGCCAACAGATGCCTCGAGCCAACAGAGCCAAACCAGTGGTGAACTTGGGACATCACCTGGTATTTGCAGGTTCAAACATGTCTTTGTCTATGTGTTCCTGGCTATTGCTGGCTCCGGTCAAGAAAAAAGGCGGAGGCCGGTGTGCGCGCTGGTCAGAACTCCCTGCCAGGCCAAGTGTGACTGCAGCAGCCAAGAAGCGTTGAACTCCCGCGCCGATGGCACGCATCTCGGCCCCAAGAAACTTCGACCTTTGTCAGAGCACGTCAGGTTAACTGCTCACTAAAAACCAGTCAACACCCCACATGAAGATGTAGAACTGTAGAACCACCACTGGTAGGGAGGGTTTTGCGATATAATCAGTCAACATGAGGTGACAGGTCCGTCGTTCATGTTCGAGCGGTGCCTTTGCAAGACTAGATAAGTCAAAGGCAAAGGCTGAAATCGACCACATGGAGGGTCACTAAGGGTCACCCTCTATGTGGTCGACTTGCGTTGCCTCGAGTCGAAGGTTGGAGGCCCTCAAGACACGAGCATGTGTAGTGTCCAAGAAGCGCGCCGCGTCACGCGGCGCGCGCGCGCAAGTTGGAGAGCGTCCCACAGCTGTGTCCCTCATGGTCTCCGTGTGTCCCTCATCGTGGAAATTCGGAAATGGGTCTTATCACCGTACGTAGAGGGCGGTGCCATCCACGGAAGCCGTGATGATTTTCAGGGAAAGTAATTATGATGTTCTGATGATTTTATTGAAGGGGTCATGGTGGGTCAAGGGGATTGCCCCTGGAAACATCCACCGCAAAGTGGAAGGGAGAGGAGAGTTGGAGTCTGCTGGAAGTCCAGGGCTTCCGCTTTCACAGAAGAACATTTGAAATCAGTTGAATCTTACTTCGTAAGACTGCCAAGGTTCATAGGCCCTGAAAACCATGTTTCGCAATCAACAATCCCATACATGTTTGTGACTTGTTGGGACCAATATGGGCAAATGAATATCCAGCAAGCTTGAGTTGGCTTCCAAAGAGTTGTTTTCTTCTTTCAACATGCTGCAGCTTGACTTCGCACTGCTCATGCAGTAGGGTATGGGCCACCATCCCCCTGGCCTCATTCTTTTCGGCCAGTTTGGACTGGACCACAGATGAGCAAACGAAGGAACCGTTGCAGCAGAGCTCGTTACAGTGCTCTCAGAGTAGAGAACACACAAACCCAAAGAGGTCTTTAGAAAAAGGGGGTCCAAATAAACCACCTTTTGATACCTTTTAGGGTTTGCGCCATCTCTCAATCCGCTATACATCACTATACTATACTGGTTCAAGCTTGATTTGACTATATAAACTGTTGACTTCACCCATCAATTGAAGGTGCGACAGCTTCCGGCACCTCTCGCTCGCTCAGGAACGGGGAGCTTTGCTGCTCCCCACGTTTGGGTGCCTATGAGAACAGCAAGTTGTGGCCACAGGGCCCTCCCTTCGCCCAGATGTGTAACGTCACGAGCCTTCGGCCCGTGATGTGGCGGTGTGGAGAGGTTGGGTGTGGCGTGAGTCACTTGGGCCGAGGCTTAGGAGGTGTTCGGTGGTGGAAAAGGGGGCCACACAGATGGTGAGGAGAGGGTTCTGCCGGGTTCTGCTCTCTATGGAGTCATCGCACGGATGCTTCATCTTGGAGTGTAGGTGAAGATCGGACATTCGTCTTCCCAATCAATTTGCATGGTGGATGTTTAGCCGCTTAGCCCTTTGTGGCTTGGTCCTTGGATAAGCCTTGGATGGTTTGTTTCGCAGTGTTAACAAAGGAATAGTTCCTCTTAAGGAATCGCTTCCTGCTCCCTGGCGTCAAGAGACTCGGTCTCGGTCTCCAAGCCGACATGACACGACATCGAGTCTCGATGACGATGGAAAGCTCCCATCTGTTTGCCAAGGGGTGATGAGGGGGTGACTCGGTGACTCGAAGTGCCACCACCGCCAGACAATCTAACAACATTCATGACATTTCATGACTATTAAGGTTGAAAAGCATATGAGTTGTTCCATGTTGTTCCCATCTTCTATGTGCTACGAATTCCTGTGAATGCCCCGTGAAAGCTGAGGAATTGGCCGACCTCTCCCTTGGATAAAGCCACCTACATCGCCAAGTATCAGAAGGTTTGCCCTGATCCTCGCCTTCCAAACGAGCAGGGTTGTTTTTTTCAAACACTCCAGGTCAGGCGTGGGCTTCTTCTTCAGCGCTACGAGAGCAATCTCCAAAGCCGAAGCAGTTCAAAGCTAGATTTATAAGCCTCTGAATCCGTTAAAGGTTAAGGGGTGTCCATTAACCACCCCACAGATAGATCAATCTGAAAATATTTGATCTGAAAGGTGCCGGACTTCTGTCGTTTTGGCCGCACGAGCCATGACACGGATCTGATACGGTCAGCTGCCGAGGATGCCAAGACGTGGCATTTCCAGGAGGATGCAGTGAAGAGCTGCAGCTCGGCGGGCTGGTGGTCTTCGACCGTCTTCGACCCGGACCCGTTTCGCTCGGCGTTGAATGATCCACATTGCCACGTGTCCTAGAGTCGTGCTTTCGTCCACCAGTTGTCCTCAAGAAGCTGGGAAACCAACGCGTCCCACCGAGCATGGTTGGGAAACCAAAGCGTGCTTGTGTGTCAACATAGAGACCATGAACAGGGTAGAAACCTAAATGACAGCTGGTTTGCCACCAGTATGGCAGGTTAGAGCAAAATACAAGATACATGTGTTATGTTGTTTGAACGCAAGCAAGATACCTACCCAAGGCCATCGGGGAAGCAAACAAAAACAGAAAAAACACGTTCTTGTCTTTCGTGCGTCAAATAAGCAGAGTGTCAGGCTGCAGTTTTAGCATCTTAGACCCAGCTTCTCCACCGAACTTGTTGGTCTTTTAAGATCATAAAGATTTGGATAAAGACAATCCGGGATAGAGCAACAAGTTCTCTATACGACTCACTGAATCTTTATGTCATAAGGTTTGGATAAAGATTTGGAGTTTTTTTTCCAGACTTGATCCACGTGGACCGGACCTGTATTGGATGCGCAATACATTCCTGGAAACCCAGTCCCAACCAGAAACAGTTCTGGTTGGTCCAATATGGCAATTGAGAGCATTTATATAGGAAGTGGTTGTTTGTGTGTCTCACCCATTTGTTTCTGGGTTCTTTGGATTTCCAGATGCCTTTACTTGTATGATGTTAATTCCAAATGCATCTTGCAGAATTCACTGAGATCCGGCGACCCCATTGCAGAATATTAGGAATATTGCAGACGTTCACTCGCCTTTGATTGACTGGTTGTTCTGGTTTTCATGCACCTCTGGTGTCCTCTGGACCAGAGATATGGAGGACACGTGCCTGTTTTTTGCCAGGCCAAGAAATCTGTGCTTCTCGCGCATGTTTGACCGGTTGTCAATGTTTGACTGTTTTTGACCATGATAGACCTTTAGACAAGAAGATGTGTAAGCCCCGAGAAGGAGCATAAGGACGAGAAAGGCCAACCATGTCATGCCATATCCAAAAAATTGAAAGACAATTTGGGAATTCCTATTTGATCCCTTTTGAGCTGAATAGCTTTGATTTTGTGAACCAAGCTGGCAGGGTGCCTTGGGTGCTTGTCTTCCCCGCTCAGTTAAACATCACAATTATTAGCAACAGTCTTCCCTTAGTGCCACCTTCCTGTCGGCGTTGACGAAACAATGCTACTCTCCGAGCCGCAGCATCTCAGGCAAGGCCGAGCTCAAGTCAGACTACACGGTGACCTTTTGCGGGTGAGCGGCCGAAACGACTCTCCAAAACCCATGGAGACTCGTTTCACGTCGCCCTGCCAGACGCTTTTGTGGAGACCGTTTCCGAGGACGCCTTTTTCTCAACTATGTCTCTTTGGTGTTGGACAATGTTGCTCGAATGACACAACCACAAGTTTAGGTTTGTGATGTTTCTCATCAAGTTTTGGTTTGGCTCCAACACGTCCTCGGTATGTGTCCTTAATTCACCTGCTATTTCGACTCATGGTTCCTAGGTGTATGCCGCGGAATCTCACGAGTGTTCCAAGAGTGAAACACCTCCAGGTGACGAACCTGTGCGCAGACCAGGTTGGCCTGACAAGTGGGCTGCACGACATGTTCTAAAGGCAGGATCTAGCATTTCCCACAACATTACTTCTTTCTTGCCTTTCATGGTTGCTTGGCGTGCCGGACATGGAGCACTTTCTAGATCACTTTTGTGGTCAGTTTGTACTCAGTAATTGTGTCTCTGTGAAAGAAGACCTCCGAAAGCACATTTTGAGGTACAGGACCTTGGGATTTTCAGCGGTCCTAGTTCGCAAGCTGAATGCAGTCAAAATTGAGCCTTGGTGGATCCTGTGCTCCCAAAATCAGAGCCTCGAACTTGGTGGTCGCGCCAAATCTCTGCACGACAAGTGACTAATTAGATGTCCGCAAGCTGCACAACTGCTGCCCATCGTGGGCATGGCTCTTGTGGGCACCGTTTGATTTTCCAAGGCCTCCAGGGCAGTTGGGGAAGAGTGTTGAGAATTGGAAGGTCATGGAAAATCAAGTAAATTTAGCTATCACGAGTTGCAACTAAAATAATATGGTGATAATATGGTGTTGAGAGCATTGTTTAGAGCTTTGAACACACTCAACCCTAACCCCTAACAGCCCCTCTAAACCACTTGGGTTAGCATTGGCTTCGCTACGACTTGCCAACTTTTCCATGCAGGCAGGCGTGCGAGCACTTCCGAAATCCGTCCTGACACAAGGGGTGTAGGATGATGGATAGCAATGCCGAAGAGGATTCAGAAGAAACCAGGTAGGCTCCGCGTATGTCCAACGACTGTCGGATTGATCCACCCAACCAGGGTGTGGAAGGAGACTTGATTGGCTCATTGGAGACAGACGTGTTTTGCAGACCCTTTTAAGACGTTTGCATCTTGGGGACATGGGCAGGCTGAGAAGAACAGCAACCTTCAGGGAGACTTTTCGGTTTGAATGGCAATGGAGAGGGGAACCTATGCTGGATCCCAGAGCCTGATGTGTATAGCAGTATACAAGTACAAAAGCAGCTGTATGACACTTACCATCACCTTCCGATGTCCTTTCCAGCACTCCCATAAGGAAACTCCAAATGTAACAAACGTTTCTTACTCGTTAACTTTGGCAGATTAGCTTCAAGGGATAACTTGTCCCAATCTCTTCATCACTTGCATACTAGGCCTCAATACACCTACCTAATCCTACCTACAGTACCAGACCTCATCGCCCTGGCCCATTGTCCCGGTGTTCCGGATTGGTACCAAAACACTCATCCCACACCCGCCCCACCGGAGCCCCGCCGCCCCCGTCTTAAGGAACGCTTTGGAGGAGCTCTTGGGCCCCATGCGACAAGTCATGGGTGGTCCGAAGTTCATCGCCACTCTGCAACAGGCGGGGCCGTCGTCATGTGTGGTGGACACCCACACCCCCGGGCCGCGCGTGAGACGGATGGATGAGACCGGATGCAGGTTTGTTCATCGGAGTGAACGACTGGTTGGGGAAGGACCAGTACGAAACAGTTTCTGTCGAAAAATGTCCCAGATTCTGTCTCACCAGTTTCTGTCTCACCGAGGTCATGGAGAAGCTCCCAGACAAGTATACCCTGAGGCGGGCATGGGCCACACATGTTTGAGAGATAATGAGAGGATTCTGGGATCACACACCCTGGTCGAGGCGCGTCTCCAACGAGGGCCGAGGGCGAGTGTTCCACAGTCATGATGTGTTATATTGTTTCATGCTTTAAGGTGTCCATGATATCCCTGTATTTCTTTGGAATGTTATGGGGTTGGGTTCCACTTGCTCATTGAGCACAACTTGTGCAGTGCCGGCCCACCATGTTCCACTTGCGCCATAATATTGAGCCGTGCCTTTTGATGGGCACAGGTGCGGTTTCTTGTTTGTTTCGATGTGCATGGTCAGATGTGCGTGTTTTGCACCGCAAAGTAGATATTCTTGCTTGCATATGCTTGCATAAGGTAGGCCCAGGGTTTGGGGCCTACCAACATGGGGAGGCCATCCTGTACCTCAAGTATCCTCAAGTAAGTCCTGTGTGTTTTTCCTCCAAACAAGACACCCATGGGACCCACAAGACACCCTCGACTCCGCCAGTTTCCGCTCCTGACAGCTGCTGACATCAGACGACCTCCGTCTCCCGGTGCCGTGACGGCTCAGGCGTCGTTCTGGCCGTGGGAACTCGGGATCCGTTGGAGCGATCAGCTCCACCGGTGACGTGGCGAAATGGCTTACTTGGATGTCAACGAAGCCTATACGATGGAAGTCCGTGTCAGGGCCTTAAGTGGTCAGAGCTTTCAATTCCACATCGACCAGTTCGCCATCATCGGTGATGTGAAGCAGCGCTTGAGCAATGGGCTTGCTCGGAAGTTTCATGAGATGAAGCTCCTGTACAATTCAGAAGAGCCAGGTGTCTTCGAGAAGGTCGGCAAATTCCGCAACAGGTCAGGGATTGTGGAGCTCACCTTGGTGATCAACCGCACTTGTCGCTGGTGCAACTTGCAGATCAATGACAACATCGTGGCACCACTGCTGGGTACCTCCACCGGTGATTTTTGTGGCACTCACTGCTATTATAGCATGCAGCGCGAGTTGCAGGATCCCAATAATATCTTCAAGGTCTTCGGCATGAGCTTCGAACAGCCAAGACATGACCTGAGGCCCACTGGGCCTAGCAGCCTGAGGCCCCTCTAAGAGCCGTGTAACTCTCCACGGCCATGGTGACCCCGGGCGAGATCGATTTCTCTTTGAGGCGAAGCCCAGGACATGGGAAGATCAATGTGTTACACTGACGAACTATACACAATGTGTATATATCACATGTATTTACATATTTGCATTGTAACGTGTTTTGAAATATCATTGAAAAGGTTGGAAGTGGCTAGGAACTTCTCTCCGCTCTCAGTACTCATTGATACTCATTGAATCATTGAAGATTATATAGGAATTCTCTTCTATTGGCCTAGTGACATGTTATGAACATTCTTTATATATAGATGTGTTCCGTCACCAAGAAGAATATAATGATGATTATTTGATTCCTCCCAAACATTCCACAGGATGGAGTCAATATTCAGTACTATGACTATGACAGTGACTATGAGTTATAATGTTATTTCTATCATCATTCAATTCTTGTCATGTCATGTAATTCAATTGTTAATGACTTTCAATTCTTCATCCGGTCGCCGTTTGACGAAGCGACACAGCGATCGCGATCGTCGAATCCAGGACCCGTGTCGTCGGAGTTTCGAGAAATTCACTGTAGGGCTTCTGGCTCGGCTCAGTTCCGAGCCGAACAGAAGCGAGTTTCGAGGGCAGATCAGTTCTTTTTTCTGGAAGAGAATTCTGAATAGATGGTGAACAGAGTCTAAGGTGTTGGAAGATATTTAATCATGAGTGACTCGTGTGTGTTGGAGTTTGTCCAGATGCTTTAAGGGGCCAAAGGTTGAAGGCCTATAAGAGAAACCCTATGACTTCCCTCATTTGCATCCTCTCAGACACAAGAACTGAGTGCACCAGAGTTTCCGAAGGCGGAGTCGTCCAAAAATAGCCCTGCCTTGTGTCACTTGAGAAACTCGGGAAACCTAAAGGATACTTAGCAGAAACAGATCATTTTGACCCAGCCATGGTCAGCCATGTGCTCCCACAACTGCTTTGTTTTTTGAGTTTTACATGCACCTGGCGCATCTACCTGCCCCTGATGAAAGTACAAAGGGGTCTTGAACTGAACATCGTTGGCATCGCAGGCTCAGGACTCTTGACTCTGCAATTCCTACCTGCCATGTTCCCCTAGTTTCTGAATTCAACATCCTGAAGACATGCAACGACATGAAACGACAAAACGAAACCAAAACCCTTCCAGTCTCGTTTTCGTTTGGCCCCACACCGTCGCTTCAGGGATTTGCGCCTCTCCCGGAACCTGGCGCTCGGGCTCCCGGTGACGAGTGGAAGATGCACCGCACGGATGAACCCACCAGTGTTGCGTGTTGCCACCCCGTATGAGGGACATCGCCTTACGCATTTCCTCAGATGGACCTGACACTGTGTCAAAAAGCGTAAAGGTCCGATGCGAAAAAATGGGAGGTTCGGACACCAAATGAGACCAAGTACCACCGCGGAAAAGCACAGCCCTTGGGCGTCGAGTGGGATGCCAATGATGCTAACAAGTTCTCGGTCTGGTCTTTCAGCTCCCAATCTGGCAGGCGGACCCTTTTTGATGGGACGAGATTGGAGATCAGCATTGATCCTGCATTCAATGAATGTGGATAAATTGGCCTTGCCAAGCCTTCTCCCAAAACACCCCAACCACTTTTGGACCCGGCGCTTGCGGGCTTAGGTGAAGGTCTCAGGATCAGACGAGTCAGCTTCACATGACCCAATGTTGACATTTGCCGGCTCAGTCATTGGTAGTTGTAGGAGGTTGGATGGGCTGTAGAACAAGCCAGGGTGATCCAAGGGGTTTCCTTTATTTTCTTGACCCTGCTTGCACAAGGTTCAGCTCCAGGGTACATGGCCCAAAATTCGAGATAGAATGTTCTGTTGACGACGTTTCTAGAGCAGAATACAAATGGAATCACCAAGAAGGCCGGCCATGAGGATGAACGTCAAATTGGTCACTTTTGCGTGATCCAGCATGCCAATCAGGTGGCTTTGCTGACGTGAAACCTGGCTCAAACCCGGAACAGCCACCCTGGGCAGCGCGGCTGGTCGCTGATTCGCTGATAGCTTTGGGCTTTTCATGGCATCCAATAAGCGCATGTATACGTTGGCAAGGAAGAGCTACGTACTGGTGGTGTTCTAAAAAGACAAAGGAAGATTACCATATGGTTGTGACACATGTCATCTTCAAGGTCTTTCCATAGCCAGGTGGTGTGCAGAAGCTTCACTGCGGGCTTGAGTTCCGCACATGGCAGCCAAATTTGGCAAACTCGTCAAGATCCTGTTTGACACCAGACATTTGATCGATGAAACACATAATTAAACATGTTTTGAGACAAGCCCATCCCACATCCATGAACACTAGCCCAACAAAAACCTTTGCAGGTAAGCTCCAACTCACTTCGCCTGCCATGGGTGCTCAACGCCGCCCGTCGGACAGGTACCTGGTCTGTCAGTTTCTTATGTTGATCGATTCTGGTGAAGCTCAACAATACAAGTGTCCAAGTTGTCTAGTTGTCAAAGTATTTACCATTTCGGACTGTTGCCATTGGTGGAGGCTGGTGCTCTGCAGTTGGTTGAACATCAGCAATTTCGGGGTCTATGTTCTGGACGATAGAAGACCTCCAGATTTCACCAAAATCACCAGAGCCAACGCTTCAATCAGTGCTACCCTCTTTTTCTCACAGTCGACTGCCTCACGCCCAGGCAGGGCCCTCCGGGCCCTCGCCGGCTGGGCCGCTCTCCACGGGGGCCGCGTTCCGCCGCTCCAAAGGCGGCTGGAGCAGTGTGGACGCAGTGAACGCGTTCTCTCGGTTTCCACCGTCGGCTAAGAGCGGCCGTTCGCCCAAGTTGACTGAAGTATAAACCGGAAAACAACACCATATCGGAGTAGTTTCCAATGATGCCACATGAGAGAAAAACGGAAGGAGGCTTTGCGGATAGGTTGGTAGCTCCTTATGACTTTCCTTACCGAGGTACGAGTGCAGCAGTATAGATTCCTGTTCCCAGTCTTTGATATACAAGTGGCTCCCACTTGGTAGCCTTGACAGCTTGGATCACAGAAGCCAGAGCATTCAATAGAATTGAAAGTTTCGGAAGGGGTGACAACCCGGCATCTCAAAGTACTACCGGGCGATGTTGCGCGCACGAGCCCCACTCTCCACTAAGTGGGGCACTTGAAAATGAGACGAATGAGTTGTTTGGCGAAAGGAAATCTGCAGACTCCCTGTGACAAATGAATCGAAAGCCACCGGGTGATTGTGGGGGGCCGTGAATGGGGTCCTTCCAAGGAATGACTCCCTTCCCGTTCTGTGTGACTTCTCAGGCCACAAAGGAACCAGCAGAGGTGCCCATGAAGGACCTGTACTGTAGCTGAGGCTGTGGATCCAATGTGTTCATTGATTTCTCTACATGAACCCAAAAACCAGACATGGTGTTTGAACTCACCTGCAGACCGTTTGCATGGCATACAGACCTTCCTACAGACCGTCACAGTGGGCTGGATTCGCCCACCTCGTTGAGTCGCCGTTCCCGGCGCGTTGGACGGGACCCGGCGTGCCAAGTCGTTCTGCTCGGGAGCTGGATGACTCGACGCCGGCGTTTCAAATCCTGCTTGGGCTTTTTTCCTGATTCCCCAGATGAGCTGGCTTCACATCGAACTATATAGTTCCCTTATGTTCCCTTTATAGGGCTTCAAACACCTCCTCAAAGGATACTTGGACCCTTTAAACCCATGCAAACGAAACACCTTCTCAGACGGCAGAAAGCTTGTTGGTGTCAATTCAACTCAAAATCGACCAACCAATGGGGCCTCAACCCCGTGGGTCACGTGTGTCCGAAGCTGTCCGTGCTACGGGTTTCCGCCACCTCGAGGAGCTGGAGGATGCGCTGCGGCTCCGGGAGCGCCTGGCGATGATGGACGCCGACTTGCGACAACAGTGGCTTGGGGGGTGACGTGAAACGAGACACCAAAAGAAGCGCGACGTGAGACAGCATGGTGTGTTTGTGTCTCAGAGGCTTTCCACTGTAAGGTTTGGCTGGTCATATCCATTCTGTAGGATTTTCTATGGTGTCTAGTGGATGATGTGAATCTGTTTGGAGAGTGTTCCAGTGTTCCCCCAAGTCCATTGGGTGGCCTTATCACTGGCCTCATCACTCATCATCACCGCTTCGATTGCTGCAGATCCTCCACCAGAAAAATAACTCACCGGATTGCCTTGGCAGACCCCTCCGGACTCTCAAAGGTTGCATAGTTCGCACAGTAATGCATAACTACTATGCAGTAAGGACTTAGAGTAAGGAGGTTTCAGACCAGTCCAACTATGCAGTTACGGTTTCAGAGCTTCGAGAACGCACGGACCTGGGCCCCCAAGTTCGGTCACCCGATGAAGGACATCGAACGGGGCACTGGGGGGGTGCCATCGAACCGAAACCACCAGATGGTGAGGTTCAAGTGCCATGAGGAGTTCCTCGTCCGATCGAAGGAGGTCGCCCAAGTCTTGAAGGAGAATGGAGGATTTGAATGTCAGAGTGTCTATATTCGTAGCAAATAGCTACTAGTGGCGTCCTTGTTCCTAGTAGCGATGGCCTCCACATAGTAGCGTCCCAGGTGTGACGTGTAGTCGGTGTGAACTCTCAGTCGCCTGGTGGTTTGGTGGCGTTCGTTTGTAAAGATGGGGGGTGGTGGGGGGAATTGGTAGGGATGAGGTTTGTTTGGATTTCAATGGTTCTCACAAGCTTTCCTTGGTCGTTGGGAATCTCTCGAGAGTTGCATGTGGTTGGGCTTCTGAAGCAGGTCACGCGTTTTTCTGTGTTTTGCCGTCGTTCTTCATTTCCCGGACCATGAGTCCATTATTGTTTTGGTTTGTGTTGTCGTTGGTTTACATCCTGTTTCTTCGTCTCAGTCGGTTTGGTCACGTGGATGATATTCCCCCCAAATTAAAAACATTGGTTTCTGGTGGACATGTTGTACGTGGATGCTCTTGTTGATGTGTTTTCTTGGGCTTCTTGCGGTGACTCTGTGGTGAGGGCTTACGATTGAGGTTTAAAAGAAGGCAAACATGTTGATGGGACATGACAAGTACTTATGTATATTATACATGGGGGCTGACCGTGCTCACTCGGTCACTTGCCAAGGATGACACCCCCAAAGCCTCAACTCACATCATAAACTCACGAAATCCAGTGCTGAACTTTATTTGGTCTTTGTGGCTGATCATGTGCTCTAGTTTCCAAGGATGACAGCCCTGGACAAACATGCATAAAATTCCACACAAAACCTTCACCCACAGAATTATGCTGTATATAGCCCCAAAGACTCAACTCACATCACAAAGCCAGGAAATCTAACCCCAAACTTTGTTCGTCCAGTGTGGCTGACCATATTTTTTGCAGTCAAACGCAAAGGTAGACTTTTGGACAAGAATACGAAAACATTACAACGACAAGCCCGATCCGAGACCTACGGTAAGCCCCAGATCCCAGACCAAGTGAGGAGCCAAGTATGTTGTACAATGCTGACATGTTTAGTTCTTAATGGTGGCCCTGGCCACCAGGACCCTTCAATACACAGGCTCAACTTGCGTGGGCTGCTCCAAAGCCAAAGCGAGAAACCAATCATTGAAAGACAGCAACAGGCAAATCGAGCGCTCGACTGGGAACCGCGTATGAGCGTATCTGCCATGCCGAGTTCCAGCCAGCTCCCGCAATGCTTTATTCTCAGCCTTCTAGAACAACGTTTCTTATTCAACTTATTAATTGTAACTTATTATTACTATGTAGTATGTAGTAATAGTACCCTTATTGCCTTATTACTACTTGTGATGCACATGCTACTAGTGGAAAGCTCAGACTAAGTGTTGGGATTCCAGCCAGACAGCTTCCCTCACTCCATCACAGTTTGAGCCATGAACTTTCTCATGGCTGGAATTTAACTAAAGTATATTTGGCTATCAGACAACGTACCAACACTAGCAATCTCGTTCCTCTCTTTAGAACTTGCACCCTCCGATTTGGCAATCTGACCTGTACGAGACACCTCGGCCATCTCGAGGTGTACCATGGAATTTCCTTCAGGCGGGAATCACAAACATACTCCTACTTCAAGCCCGAAACCACCCAAACCCAACGATCCAACTCAAACAAAGCTCACAAAGTTAAAAGCCTCCGACCCGCAAACCAAAAACACAAAATTTGAAAACTCGTTGATTCTCTGGGGTGGGGAGGTGCCAGAGGAGAAACACTTAATTGTGAAATGTTGCTCTCGGGTGTTGATGAAATCGGGGGCATAGGATTTAATTTCAGACTTAGTTGAAGGCCTTGCATTCTGTCCTACCAAAGCTTAGCCGGCAAAAACTGCTTCCCCTGCCAATCCACACGGGATCACACGGGATCATGTTTTGTGACATGGGTATCTTGGCGATCTCCGAGCGCGGTTCCGCCTGACCTGACGCGTTGGGAAGAGTTGAAGGAAACGCAAAAACAGACGGAGACTTGACAGGATAAGTTAACCCTCGGGTGGGATACGTATATATATAGTTATATATATATATTGTTATTTCGCATTGAAAGGCAACTGAGTCCTGACTTGCGGTTTGAACAAGACATTCTTCACTGTCATTCAACCAAATGGACGATGCGGTAAGGTTTCTTCCTTCAGCACTGGAATTTGGTTTGGGTGAAAATGGTCCACATCCCTACTTTCCCGGTGAACAATTTGTTTTCTACCCAATGAATTTCAGCTGCACAATATGCGAGTTTTGGGTACTCCAACAGAGTCGTTCAAATCAAAAGACGACCTCGTGATCCCTCGTGGGAGTTACTATAATAAGCGCGCAGCAAAAAATGCATGGTTTTTTGGTGCGTGGTTTGTACCAATGGGGTCTCCTTGGCAGGAGCAAGTCTTAGAGCTCGACGCTGGGCCGCCCAGCAAACCGTCACCATGACCAGCACTTGGAATCACTCATTGACATGAAGTGGATGGCATGGATCTTCTTTTCAAGGTGTTGTCCCTTTCTTTCTGATGCGGTCCTCAGAGTTTGGTTCAATGGTACACTGTGGGGGTTGTTTATGCACCTTCCTCCAATCCAACATGTTGATCCAACCTTATGCAAGAGCAGGTCATGAACATGATGTTCACAACTAAGAAACGAGTGAAGGCACAAACCACTCGTGGTGTTCGAGATGTCTTGTGTTGAACGCGACTCGGTGGGGGGCCAGTTCACCGATCCATGCCCACCGTTTCTGAACAAAACATGTCTTTAAAACATGTGGAGGTGTGGATGTTTCAGCTGTAGCCATATCATCTTCCAGAAAAAATGGGTTGTGTTGTGTTGTTCCAATTCTTCAACGCTGGAACAGCCATCAGTATGTGTCTAAGGAAGTCAGAGGGGTTTCGATATTGGACATAATTGCCATTGAAAAGCACATAGGCGAGTTTGTCCCAACCCACCTGAGCCCTGGTTCAAAGGACCATCGGTAGCACCGGGCCCCGGTGGTTTTCACATGCTTATTTCTGGGGATCTTCCGTTCAGGACTGCGAAGAGCTGGACGAGGACAGCGAGGTGTCCTCACCGGTGGGGACGCCATGCAGTGAGGAGATCTCGACAGCTCCACCAGAGGAGGGCGGGGAGTCTCATCTTTGGGAGAAGAAAGAGGTGCCTTGGCAGGTGGGTCGGTTAAGGGGACAGAGCAGATCTGGTGACCAGTTTGCTTGTTTTCCGTGAGAGCAGTTGATGTGAAAGGAAGGCGTTGTTGGATGTTTAGGAGTTGTAGGATATTGGTCCTCGATTGAAAACATGTGTCATTGTTTCGCACCTACCTGGGGTTTTCGAACTCAGCCCAGCCAAGTGGCAAGTGGAATTATGGTCCTACTGAACCTGAAATTGAGCGTTTTTAACTGACTCACAATGCCAATTGCAGTTCAACGAGGCAAGCACTGATTAATATAGCATTTTAACAGAGCAATCCACTTGAAACTTGCAACTGCAATAAATAAAGATCAATGTTTCGTAACTTCTGCTGAATCTTGGTGCGGCGCTGCGTCCCAGACTTCCAACCTTCTCCTGGGAGTGTGGGAGTGTGTGGTCCATCACTACAGGGAGAGGCCCACATCAACCCCAATTCGCAGCTGAGGCGAACATCACGCCGGAGCGTTTCTTACTGCAGCGCTTGTCGGAAACTCCTTTAAGGAGTCGGGTGGAACGAAGGTTTCACGGGTGGAGAAGGGGGAGGGGTTTCAAAAGCCCCAAGGAACTGCCCAAGGTGGCCCAGGTTTTGACTGGCTTGTGGGGAGCACCACGGACCCTGATGGAGATCTCTTGAGAGAGGGCTCCCCAGGTGCTGCTTTCATGAGCTTTAGAAGGGCAAAGGTGGCAATGAAGCTGCACTAAATGTTCATGTTGACAAATAAACCGAACCCTCGTCCCTAGAGATGTGTGAACATCTCCAAATCGGGTGGATTATTCACCAACTGTCAGCACAATCTGCGCCAACTATTTCCTCATCCAAACCTGCATGCAGAGCCTCAAGCGTGCAACACATCACTCTGTCATCAGTGGCAGACAACATTGCAGGATTCCCTTTTAATCTAAATATCGCCTGTGCTTCCCATCTACTTACCTGCAAGATCTTTATATATAAAAGAAGTCGATTCAGTGTATGTCGCCATCGTCCAGTAGTGGTGGGCGGGCGGCACAAGAAATGAAACGTTCCAAAATCATCCAATATCTAAATAAAGCTCCTGTCATGTGGTTTATTGTTCTATTTATATTTGCAAGAGCACAACCATGGTTGGGGCCCACCAGGCCCAGCAAACATCATCACATGTTACCTTTAGGAGGGGTCCCTATCATGCCAAACAGTTTGTTCTTTAACAGCAATCCCTGGCAATCCCCATTAGAATAAGAAGCAACCATCATCCAAGTGGTCTCATCTTATCTACAGTAGTTGTGTCAGTTGTGAAGGTGAGCTCAGCAAGGCCCCTCAGGCACTACCACTTTCACGTGAGGCAGTCAGCGAAGCGTTTAGGCCTCGAGGTGGAGGGTGGCAAGCCGGCCACTTGGCGATCCGGCCCTCTGTTGGAGGTTAGAGACACTGCAAACTCACACGCGTGTCAGTTAGCGTGTCAAATACACCCCTACAGTACATATCACCATAAAAACACCCGAAAGTTCTGGAGAGTGGATCCTCTTGAGTTTTTGGAATCTGGAATTACATGGGTGGAAGATGGTGGAAGGACTTGAGACAGAGTCAGAAACCTTGCCCACAAAGAAGATGTCTGCCACACCGGGCTAATGACTACTGACAACCACATAAAACCACCACTCCTGCGCAGAGCAGTGCAGAGCAGTAATGAGACTAGCTGTTGTTTGGTGGTCGCCAAAGAACCAGCGACGACCCAGACACTCCACAAACGATCACAAAGTGGATTGCTTCATGTCTGAGTAGGAGATTGAAACTTCTTCCCCTACATGGATAGAGATTAGCAAAGCTGCACCTAGACACAGATAGAAATGCATTGAGTGTCGACCAGAGGAGAGGGGTTGAAGTGAGAATATAAAGATTGCGTCAGGGAAGTTGATCGAACGAAACAGTCTTTCTAACCTGTGGGACTTGTTCTCGGAGTTCTGAGGAATTTGGCCGAGAATTCTGATTCCCTATTGAACCATAGGGTAGCGAAATACTTGCGGGACATTTCATGCAGACCCCTTCGACTGCTGCACCACCTAAGGAGATCATCTCGGCGGTGATGAGGGAAATCCGCCGTCAGCACAGGTGCGACCGGAGTGTTCTCCGTCGATTTTCCGGCATGCAACCATCGGTGGCAACTCTTATCGGTTCGATGATTGGTGTTTGGACCTGCAGTCAATTTGCCATCAATGTGTTCTTGGAATCTGCCTTCAGTTCCACAAAGCATCAGGGAGAGTTGGTTTGCATGGCTGAATATCATTTTGTTCACAAATTCACAAACGTCAGTCGGTATGGTTGGTCGGCTGCTGCTTGTCAACCAAAAATGACACACCCCTGACAGACAGTCCAACAATCCAACACTTCTCCAGTTGAAACTGTCTTGATGTACTTCTTGGGCTCCATTTATAGCAAATCCACATGGCAGCTGAACATGAGCCACAAGGGCAAATGATGTTCCCCCACAAACCACTCAGAGCTGTAGATAATGTCCTTTGGTGAAGTGGAAGATTCTCGGTCTTTGAAGCTATCAGTGACCTATCAACCAGGAACTAGTGGAAAGTGGGTTCAGTGAATGCCATGGATGTGGACTGAAGGGAGTATTGCAGATCTGACTGATGCTGACGGGTCTTGATCATGTCACCGTTCAGGTGAACGTGATCATTGTCATGTTATGTCATGTTGAACTCCGCGGATTGGATATTCAAGATATTCAAGACAGGGTCTCACATGAGATGAGGTGACCATTTTCTCTGTTCTCTTCGTGTCTTCGGGTGTTTCGCCTTGTTCCACCTCCAACGTGGTCAAAAAAGTGGTGACCCCACACGGGTGACTCCACGGCTGCAGGGTGACGCGGCAAAAAGCCCGAAACGCAGCGGAGGCGGCGCGTGGTTTTCAGGCGCGAAGGGACGATGCATCAGGATACTGAAACGAAGAAGAGACACATGAATTCACCAGGGATTCGTTGGATTCACGTCCAAACTCACCAGGCGCCGAAAAGCAGCGAGGTGAGACCGTGACCTGGCGAAGAAACGATGGTGGAGCTTTGACCACGCGGGCGGGTCGAAGACAGAGAACTGGGGGACGACCTCCCACAGCTTGTCTGAGTGGATAGAAACTTCCCAAAGCACGTGGACCAATCCTTGGATTTGAAACCGCTGGCCCTGGTGATGGTCAAAACCCACCTCCACATTTCAAGCTGCTTCTTCTTCTGGCCGGTTTCGTCGCACAACCAAGGTATCGATGAAACGAGAAGATCGATGAAAGGTAGTTCTGATGTCTCTTTAGATCAGGAAACGAGTCCACAAGGGTGTGAATTCAGTGCGGGCCTTGTACCAAGGAAATGACAACTGCCAGAAAATACACCTGAAATGCACACGAACCAATTGCTTTGCTAATATATAAAAAGATGTTGACAGCAGCTCTTAGAGCAACTCACAATCAACCCGCGAGATGTTATATATATAATATTACATAATATTATAATATATAACAATTATATATATATAGCGAGAAAGAGAGAGAGAGAGAAAGAGAAAATATGAGAAAATAGTAGAGCTGCACTTCTGGTTTTGCCCAAATCTGCCACCGGTGCGTCCAAGAACACTACACTTGAGATCATTTGAGCATAATATATTCAACTCGATTCATATGAGTCACATGGTTCCGTTCGTCTCCATGCAGAACGAGTTCATCATTGTTTCAAGCCGATGCTTCAGTCCACCTCAGACATGATGGAAATGCCTTCCCTTCACCTGCGACCAGCTTTTTCCAGCACGTCCTTCCCACTGGGGCCGCCACCGTCGTGACGCGACGGTCGCGGCCGAGGCCGCCCTCCACACCGGCCTATGCCTGTGCCAAGCTGGGCCGCGTGCGACGGGAGTGCCTGGCAGCCTGAGGCACCGTCGCGGTGCCGATCGCGAAGCTTTTGCGAAGGATCAGAATGGTTTTGGCCCCGGATCGAGTGGTTTTGTGGTGCCTCTTTGGCTGGGCAAGAAGTTTGATCCATCAATAGTTGTGATTACCTCAGACATGGGGGTAGAAACTCATATAGGGTTCAAGATCTAGCTGAATCTGGCTGCATCCTGAGAAGGTTGGAGCTGACATACTTTTTCCCAGCGAAGCGCATCGATTGGTCGATGCCTAGTAGCTCGAGCATTCCTGGGTCATACACCAACCCCATGATTCTCAGCTCCGTCAAGGTCCTTGTGTGGGGATGTGCGCAGGCTGAGGTTCCTCTTAGGTGAACGAAATCAGGCAAGTTGAGTGACGGAATCAATTTCAAGGCTCAGGGAATGAAGGAGCATGAGGGAGCAAGGGATCATCAAGCTGGCCCTTCGCACACCCTCAAGACTCTACCATTTGGATGTTCAGGTGATCTTTGGAAGTCTAATCAGGCATCGGGCTTTCAAATGCAGGTACAGATGCGAGAGATGTGGATGCTGCTCAAGGAGCTCCCAGGGCCAAAGCACCGTCCGAGGCCTTCTCGCTTGCATCTTCTAAAACCTAGAGATGTTTAGAGGGGTCATGTCCTGCTTGCGAAGAGATTGGAAGGTCAACTCCCACTTTCCGCTTGGAAACGACGTCGGAGAATTCTTTGGAGGCTGGGTGCCATCCACATCTACCCTTTTTCGCCTCCAGTGAGACCAGCCTGATGCATACGAGCAAGCAGCCACCACACATCTGATATGCCACGCTACAAGTGGGGCAGCGGAACATGGGGATGATATGATATGGGTGACACGGCAAATGTATGTAAACGTCAAGTCGTGACTAGAGTCCTGCCCCATTTAGAGTGGTGAAATAACCGGGATTCCGCATGGTGTGTTTCTGTTTCAGGGCACAAACACTTGGCCAATCCGATGTTCTAACTCCCTCCTTCACCCACCGCAACCCAAACTAGTAGTGACATGGTGTGGACATGAAAAGAGTACTTGGAACCGGAGACACGAACAGAGAGTGCAGGAATTCATGGTGTTCCTCACTGTTCGTCCATCCTCATGTGGATGTGATGCATCCAACTCGTCCGGGTTGTTGAGTGAAGGAGCAACCCCAGTCGGTCAAGAGTTGTTTGTACGCAAAAAGGTCAGCTTGGAGAGGGTGTCAATGCTGCGCCTTTTGCGGCTGCTTGCTGTCAAACCTGGAATTCACGATGAGTGCTGGAATTGGCAGAGATCCTTTTGTGGGATCAGGCTTAAAACACTTTGTGGGATCGGCCATCCACAGGAGAGGTTCGGTAAGATGGAAGCTGTGTAAAAGTAAAGTTGCAAATCCTTTCTGGCTGGTTGATAAGGGAGGATATGGCCATTTCTTCGATCATCGTCGATGTTGAGGACGGTCCGGAGGACTCATTGGTTTGCATTTGCCGGAGCCTGCTAGTCAATCACTGAAACCACTAGTCACTAGTACCTTGCTAGTGAATGACTTTGGGAGGTTGATCCGACCAAAAAGTGGATGGTAGAAGAAACCTGTCCGAAAACCGGCCGATGTCTTTCTGCGGGCCTGCTGCTTTGGACAAATTTATATTGAGGGATGGTGAAAATGGTCCTTGTTGAGGTATTTTGAGCAAGCCTTCATGGTGATGTCAGTGACAGTCCTTAGAAAAACCAGCTCAGGTTACTGTAGCGAAATGAAGGAGCATTTTGATCACCTTTCATGTGAGTGTAATCAGTGTAATCTTTGAATTGAAGCCTTCTCAGGAGCTTTGTCTCTGTGAGTGGTCCTTTTCGTGCGAAATCAAGAGTCACTGCAGTTGTAGATGCCCAGGATCAGATGCAGCTCCAAGTCAGACGTGGACCAAGAACCTTACACAGACCTTTGGAGGAACACACACTCAAACCCACTCCGGACATGAGATGTTGATAGATGTTGTATGTTTTGGTCTAACCGCCGTTCTTGATGGGTGATTGGACCTGGACACATAGTCCAAGAGGGGCATTCCAGAGACACAACGACAAACAATCCACTTGAATCGTGCGTATTTCTGTGGGGACATTGCACAAAGCATTTGCAGCATATCACAGCACAACGGTCCATCTGGGGTTGTGCAAGATAGGAGATGCCCATCGTCCAACATGATAAAACCTATCAGGCCAGGGTCCTCTCATTTCAACAGTCCCTGGTGTTTTACAAGAGACCACTGGGTGCTTGTCCCACCATGGGGACTGCTCCGGCTTCTAACTTTGCGGCTTGGCCAAGCCAAGAGCGCAAGCAATCACGATGCAGGCAATGCTGAGCACCAGCAAGCGTGAGGGAACTCCAGCACTCCAGGATAGTCTACATTTGTCGATGCTCTTGTGAGAACAGAAGACTTTTCTCATGGAATCCAGATCACAGGACAACATAACCTCAGATGGATTCTCCAGAATCAGACATCTCTGAATTGTTAGGAAGGTCCACCCAGGTCAACTGTTTGGTGTGCAAATGCGCGCTGGGCTGACTTGTTTCGTCGAACATGATGTTTGGGTCGTCGTCTCTATCTTGCGACACTGGTGTTCCCGTTCCCCCAAGTTTTTGAGGATGTGCCTTTCCTTTAATCCGCAGCTCCGAGAAATTGGCATCGCGCGGCAAAAGAAACGGCTGCATGAACCGGCATGAAGGCTCCGAGCCGATGGTCCGTAGTGAGATTTCGGTGTTTGCAGATGTTGGTCCTTTGCGCCACATCTAGAACTGGATGTAGGAACATTGGATGTTGGAACTTGTTGTTTTGGGGTTACAGATGCACCCTACGGAAATGGTGATTTAGTGTTGAGCCGTGCCCACCTACAAAACCATTAAGGTTCCACCGGTCATTATTTGCTCCTATTAGCTAGCTTGCTTGTTGTGTTTTGTGTTCATTGTCTTTTGTTCTTTGCACTTCTTGTGCAGGCAACTTGTCCTTCTGCTTTTTGGCGGTATTTTTTGTTAGATTATTATTCTCTTGTTGGTCTTTTTCAATGATTCTTATACGTTGGCTGTATGTGGTGAAAATACAGTAATCCTAGTCGACTTGCCAAATCTTTGATTTACGCTGAAGGAATCCCCCCCGTGCCACGACCTACTTAAAACTGGTATTGGGAAAGCAAAGCAACTTCTGTTTTTGTTTTTTGAGAAGTGCACTCTCATTTAGACACAAGCTGGAACAACAAACTGTTCTTGTTGGTTGAACAGGAGTTAGCCCATGCGGGCTCGAGGCCACAGGGCCTTGGCCATACATCACAACCTAAAACTACTAGGATATGGGATGTTCACAGACTATCAAGTCGGAAGGTGCTCCCAATAGATTGTAAATTGAAGTGTAAATGGTACCAATTGTCATCGTTGTTCGCACGTGGGGTGACCCCACCGCCCACGGCACTGATCTCTCGGCCACTGAGGCCAAGTCGAGTCAACATTTTGGCATCAAGCCAGCAGGAAGAGGTGCCCAGTGAGTTGAACTACTAAGTACTACGTTTTGACTGTGAGACACACATAGGTCAATAGGTCAAAAAAGGGCACAGTTTGTTTCTTCGATGACGCACGTTCACGGACTCGGGGAGTTCGAGAGTTTGGACTCCCAAAACTACCCATGAGGCACGTACCGCGATGGTGTTTGTTTTCTGCAAAGGTCACAAGATGATCATGTGTTGATCACAATTGGTTTGTTCATACTGATGTTCTATAGGTGCTAGACTATAGTGATGGGTCGAACAAGATGGTTTGCTGTGGTCCCTGCTTCTCATCTCCCATTTTACCATATTTTACCTCTTTTTCGTGCCACTTGCTCAGAGTCACGCCACCTGTGCTGGGCTCGGTTCACAATGGACGAGGTCATTTGTTGATCAACAAACACGGTCCAGATCATCGCTCAAGACGGAGCAACGAGCAAACCTGGGTCTTTTGTGGACCCTCTCGGAATCCTGTTCTCTTGGAATCTTGGATTCCAGGAGCTGCGGCATCACCGGGTTCCAATGATTGTGCCCGTCAGTGACTTCGGCTGGACGGCTCCGGTACAGCGGGGGGTGTGGCTCCAACACGTCCACAAGAGCTGAGAAGAGAAGGAAGACATACTTAAGGCATACAAGGCATAGCTCTCAGGTATGCTTCTGGAGCTCCCATGCTCTCAGGTATTCTATGCTGTCAGAAGAATAGAACATATTCCATCATCGACCATCTGCAAGGTAATGTGTGGCTGGGACTTGGTCAGAGCAGCCTTCCACAACTTGTTAGTCAAATTTTGCAACTTAAAGGATTTAATGGTAGCATTTGATATTTTCGTATGTTGACGGGGTGGGTCCCCTGTTTACTAATGTTTAGTCATCAGAAGCGCTCAGACATCTACCGGCTTCTACACATACCCAATGGTGGCCAGATATTCTTGCCAGAATCTGATGTGGACTTCCCAAAAGGGTAAAAAAAGGAATGATCGAATCTCTTGAATCCCCATAGATTCCCACAGGGTTTATTCGTCCCCAAGTAGAACTGGGCGGACATCTAGGATGTGAAGGACAAACATGGACAAACTGTTTGGGGTACCCAGCTTTGACCACTCCGCTCACATAGCCTCATTGGAGTGATCTCAGGTCCAGTTGCCTTAGGAGAGACCCAGGCGTGCGCCGCGCTGTGCCATGAGGGAGGAGAGTGGAGAGTGAACAGCGTGAGAGAAGCTCTTCAAGTGGATTTGCCAAGTTCAGAGCACCAGCTTGAGAGTTGACAAGTCGACTTGATTCTAGGATCTCCCGGGTTTGAGTCGAGATATTGAACTGGATGGAGAAGAGGAAGGTGAGAAGGGCTGAACCACAATTACAACATATTGCAGCACCCAATCCAAGGTCTTCAACGAGGCCACATCCACCAGCTGCGAGTTGCATTTGAGAACTACCGCATCGTACACATGGTACCATTTGCACACCGGTTTTGGGGCGTGATTGGCCTGGACCCTGGCCCCGGCCAGTGTTCACGCGTTCTCATCAACCATCGTCATTGGTTTGCGAGGGTCGCTCCGAAAGCCGGTCTGGACGTTCTGTCGGCAGAATCCACAGACGGGGTCGTTGGAAGTGCCAAGTCAACTCATCCAACGGTGCCAACGATCCTCCCATCTCGTCCCAGAAGAAATCTTCACTCGGTGTTCAATCGCTTGGGCCTTTGACTGTCAGCTGGCAGGTTTTGGATCTCTGTTTTTGGGAGAAATATGCCGGCTATATGATATTCCCATCACCATTTCGGACGTCTACGAAGTCGAATTGACCGGATGTCATGACCACATCTCGCTCCGTAAATAACTGGTCAAACTCTCCACGCATGCGCCACGCAGGCTCGGGGCTTGGAAGAAAAAGGGATGACCTTGACGGACGGCAAACCTGTTAAAGTGACGGAAGGGACGCCGTCTCGTGGCAGAACGGACCCGGATGTGAAGCAATCCAATTGCACATTGTGGGCTGCATGGAAGAATCACCATAGAGGTTGATGTTTTGGGTTGATATTCTATGAAAAGACCCTTCCTTGAAGACCCATCAAAAACCCTGCGGAAGCCGAACTGTTGCTGATCCCCCGTTGCGCTTTTCATGTGTGCTCTTCACGATACCATGGCAAGGCGATCCTCCTGAATCTCCCGAACCTTGTGGCAACAGTTGGAAGTGGGGGTTCTGCTTCCACAGTTAATTTGGTTCAGATAGTAGAAAACTCGGATTTGGCCCGGGGTTGTGAGTCCTGCGGAAAATCGAGAGGTGATTAACTTGGGATTTGGACAATTTGGGTCCGGGTTTTGTGATCTGAGCAGGTGAAGCAACTCAAGCACGCTTGAAGCTCCAGAAATACTGTGCGCCTGTTCATTCTAGTTCTTGTTTGAATGTAATTAGAGTCATTTGGGTACGGACTTAGAGCAATACTTGGATTCTCAGGTCTGAATCACAGCTCGTATGCCAGCTCCATGCCAGTGCTAAGCTACCAACCTGTTTCGACGCCCGTCAACATGTGGGGTTTTCCGTTTGGCTTTCCGTTCGTGGCGCACCGATGACCCATGCTAGCCGCTAGCCTAGGGGTGATGGAACACAGGCAGGACTGCAACTATTCGAAGAAATGAGGTTTATCTGAGAGGTTTATGATTGATACTCTTGTAAAGTACATGGTCTTTCTCATGAGAAGCACGCCTCTTGTATGCTTGTTTTTTTGGGTGACTCAGCAACCGAAGACTCGGTCCGTCTCGGCCGCGGGTCGTTTTTGCTTGGACGCAGGACTTCATCTTCCTGCGACAGAAGGAGCCCACGATAGACGCTGAGGCAGGTGGGATGAGGAACTACAACCTGAAAAGACATTGTTTGGTAAATATGAGTAAATTAGTCTGAGGAAACCATGTTGGCCCCCCTCAGGGCACACGAAACCATGTTCGACTGACTAGGAGAACTGGTGCCACATCTCCACAAGATTGTGTAAAATCTATTGTGTATGACAGATGGGTCATATTGGGAGGTGTACCCCTACTTTCAACCAGAAATGGAGTGCCAACTCAAGGTGAATCTGATTAAAGCAGTTGATCCTGAAGCATGTCCTTCATGAAAGGGGCACAACATGCAATTGGCGCCTTTGAAGAGCAGGCGATTTGACCATCAATAACAGAAAAGACCCGTTGGAGAGTTGGAAGTTTAGCCCTGCCCAACAAAGTAAAAAGGGTGATATGGCCTGGTGTGATATGAACATTGACATAGACACCAACAATGGCATCTATATGGTTCACCCAACAAAAAGAAACGAAGAGACCCTATACACTGGCTCAAGTTTCAGGAGTGTACACCCTGAGACTAAAGCACACGAAAAACGCTCCAGGCGTACGCCGTACGCTCCTGTTTGTGCAGCTTCCAGCTCGCTGGCTTCCCTGCAGATTTGACAGGTCACTGACTTCATTCAACATGCTGGAAGCTCAGAGGGACTGTTCGTGTCCTGACGGCTCCTGGAGCGGTGAAACCAGCTTTGGGGCTGGCAAGGTTGAGTGCTAAACAACAGAATTACTACCTGGAATGATCCTGGAAGTGGAAGAAGGCCTTTTGGATAACACTGAACCTTTTGCCCATTTTACTCCACAAAGCAGGTGTTCCACTTCCTTGATGAGTCCAGGGGGTGTAGAGCAAGCCTTTGGTGCCTTTTGTGCCTTGGTGTCTTTTCTCCCTGCCGATCCGGATCGAGGGCCTCCTCTTTCATGTTTCAGTCGAATCGAGGGATGCCACATGAAGTATGGTGAAGTATGGTGTTTTGATTCTGATCAGAAGGGTGGATATTCATAGCATTCTGGTGAAACATGGATTGCATTGAATTGGAATGAAGAGTTATGATGCTAAGGTTTGGTTCCCTAGCGTTGAAAGCGCAGGAGTGCGGAACCTTCAAAAACTTCCATCCACGGGCCTTTGGGAAGCTTCAAACTGATGCAGAGACGTTCCTCGAGCTGGACAAATAGGTGACCGGCAGACATCATGTTAACCTCCAAACCTTTAGCAGAGCAGAAAGGATGAAGGATGACCGGGCCTGTCGGTTTGAACTGTCCAAATTCAACCAACTCAGTCTTCTCATGTGTTCAGAAACGTCCCAAGGTCCCCAACTCAACTGACCAAATTCAACTTCAATCCCAACTCAGGCTTCCCTCCTGTCAACAGGTTCTCCCTGCCAACCCGCCATTGAGGCAAAGAGCCAGAATCGCAAAGCCGTGGGCCTCAGCGGGTTTCCTCGCAGCGGGCGAGGCTTGGGGACTCACTGAGGCGCACGGTGTCATCATTTGGTGAGGATCATTGAGCCGATCATTGAGTAGGTCATTGATGATCATCGCTTGCTTGATTGATTGATTACATGCCATGGCTGCTTTTCCTTTTCACCATGGGTTTGTATGTTCTTGGCCTTTGGGTTATTGAATTGAAACCAAACCTGCAAGGTGCTTCGTGGTGGTGTGGTGCCAGGGTGGGGTTATGATCACATCGTAGCACTTGAAGGGACCGTTCGTGCTCGTGCGGCGATGCCGCGAAGGCTGCGGGAAAACATTCTCCGCTCGGCTGCGGATGCTGTCGTTTGTGGGAGGTTGCAGGTTGCGAAGCCAGAGTGGGTGGAGGAAGGGGTCCTGGACACCTGCACCTCCATGAAAGCTGCATGGAGATGCCTCATGGAGGTTGCAGAACTAACAGCGACAAAGGATTGGGAAGGCTTGGGTGCGAGGATACCAAAAATGAGACACACAAGAAGGTGGATGTTTGTCCTTTTCTCCATGAGGAAACAGGGAGTCCCCATAAGTCCCTAGAGTTCCACTTCTCAGAATCTCTCAGACAGGCTCGAAGAAGAACACGTATGGTCCGGCGTTCGACATACGGTGGAGATGCGATATTTCCGTCAGGGCCGATGCCACGTCACCTCCACGGACTCGAGAATAAGGTCAATACATGTCAATACATAATGTATATGGTACTATATGGTCAATATGATGTCAATACACTATACCTTAATGTCAATACTTATACATAGGTCAATCATAATACACTATTCTACAATCCCTATTATGATTCCATTAATGTCTATTGTGCGTGTTTCCTCTTTGCATGGAACAAACTATATTGATCAAGTGTTGTTTATTTTTATTTCTGAACTACTCTGCATTGCTGTCACCCGATATGGAGGGGTGCTCTGGGGAGGCGAACGACAAAGGAATACGCTTTTCGTTCGCGCATCGCGCACAGGAGATGCAAGCAGAAGGGTCCATATAGGTCCAATTGTGACTGGGAAGAGATCCCCGTTGAACTCCCTAGTTTGTAGTAGAGTGGCTCATATACCAGAGCAAAAGAATCAATATTTATCACTCCCTGAGAAAAAGCGTACAAAGAAAACACCCAACAAACTGCCTCTGGACCCCAAAATTCTATGCCCCACCTTTGTCCTCCTTCTTTTACAAGTCACGAAGACTTTCGCTTTTCCCGCGTGTAACGCATGTGAGGTCATCGCAATGACCTTCTCTTCAATGCCGGTAGGCAGGGCTGTCGTCAGGTTCGATGGATGTCGGAGTCGGGATGAGGGGTTAGGGGTCACGGATATGACCACTTAGAGCCTGGGATGAGAGAAGACGAAGATGGTTTGCTGGGTTCTAGAAGACGAAGTCTTGTCACATCTACGTCTTTGCAAAGTGAGGATGCTTTCATGGTTCAATAGGTTTGCTTTTTGGGGTCTAGGATGGTCTAGGTCTCAGGCTGACGCGACATCGCGTCGTGCTACACGACGCGTTCCCTCGCGTTCGCTCGCCAGGCCTGCGGAGGATCCTGAAGATTGCAGTTGGGGGAGCCGAGACTGCCAGGTTGACCCATCGGTCCGATCCAGAGGGTCCCAGAGGGTCGGATCGGTGTCAACCAGTGGGTTGACTGGTCGGGTGGGGCAACCGGTCGCCGTGGTCTGGTGTGTCTTTTGCATGAGAAACTGGGAATCACCGTCCACTCTGGAGCATTGCAGAAAAGAGATGTCCAGCCATCACTTTGAGCTGACGGTGCAAAAGGGAAGATGAGGAGTCCACCTACAGTCCGCCTCACCAAACAAACAAATCCCATGTCCTATGCAGAACAGCTAGTGTTGACAGGCTCTCACCAACAATCAGATGGGATTCATGTTGGTTTGTCAGGGAAACCACACCTGTGGTGTCTACCTCGCTGTTGAGGTCCGGAAACAGATTGGCTGAAAAAGCAGTGCTGCCATCCAGGTTCAACCCTTGTGTTGGTTTCTCCAAAGGCAATCAGGGTATATCAGGTTGACTGTCCACCAAGCACATGATACTGCAAAGTCCTTCCCCTTTTGTTTAACGTTCTTGAAAAGCTGCTGAGATTGAACGACCTGAGATGCCGTAAAGTCGGCCTCTTGGATGAGTCGAGATGTCCCGATTGCAAGACTCATCCCAATGGCAAACGACGCATGATTCTTGCACCTTACTCGATGAAACAGACTCTGCCCCAAAAATCGCGCAGAGTCTCAATTCAAGTATGGAATTCACCTTAAGTTTCACCTTATTATAGCGTATTATAATATTATAGCCAGAGCCGAGAGATTCCACTTGAGTCCCAAAGAATTATTGGGAGAGTGTAAACAAATAAATGAATATACGTGTCCCAAAACCAAATCCAGACGTCTAACCGCCGCTCACTACAGCCGCGTAACGCCGTCGTAACGCGGCGTGGCGTTGGAGCGTCGGCGTTGAGGTCATCATTTGTCGTGACTGCAGAGTCGAGGCGGCTCCTGCGCAGCGAATGGGTCGCGCGAGCGGATGGTTTGGATCGGTGAAGAACAACCACCCGCGGTGAGCATGAATTACTGCCCGGCGAACCACTAGGCTTGTTGGAGAAAAATCCCTTGTCCGACAGGTTCACATCATACTTTAGCTTGCTTTTGGTTTACTGTTCAGATGGTCCGATGCAGATCGACATACGCGCCATTGGCAAGAGATCCACATGGTTTTAACTTCCGAGCGGTTGCCACCTGGACCTGAACTACGAAAAAAGCCTTTGGCCGCCCGCAGTTTTGGTCAACCAGTTCCCCTTCCAAAGATGCACCTCTAGGTGCGCAGATGGATCCTGAAAGATCATCTATTTGGCAACCCCCAAAATCGGATCCTCCAGGCAATCTGTGAAAAAGAAATGCCAAATCAAAATCGGAGTTCCTTTTTGGCAACCCAAATCCACGGATTTTGCCCTGAAAGACCACCAGCTGAAAACCAAGAACTTCGGAGCTCCAACGTGACCATCGGGATTTGGGGTGTTGGGGAGCGCTTCCAGAGCCCAAATCCCAGGGGAAGCGGCCTGCAGTGATTGCCATGGCCCGGTGCTGAGTGGGGAAGGGATTCCCACAAGAACCTCGCAGCAGAGGAGGCGTCCAGCAACGCTGGTTCTTTGTGTTTGCGTTTTGTGGGACATCTGTGGAACAGAACTAAAACTCCTAGCTCCCGAAGATAGGGAGCTCTAGTGCTTGGGGAGCTTACTTTGTGATTCAGAGCACCTCCTGTAAATGAGGAGGCTGCTTCCAATACAGGAACCAAACAGCCGTGAGAAACGCAAATTTAGGTGGAATCAAGGACCACAGACAAAACCAACATTTTGTGGGTGATCGTCGGGATCGTCAACTTTTTAGCCTACGAATAAAATCAAAGTACAAAATCAAAGTCCTTTGCAGTTTATAGCTGAAGCAGCTTTGATGAGCATTTTGGAGGTTGAACTACTAATCCCTCCCTCTTTATCTAGACCTCCACCATATGGATCCATTTGGCAATCCCCAATTCACCGTTAATCGAGGAACCCAATGAAGTTCCCAGCTTGAAGGACTTTAGACGTGTGAGCGGATCTACATCCCATATCATCTCATGCTGCAATCCATTCTGGTCGTCCCATTTGGAAGCCAACTAAACAACTGCCGTTTGGGACGACACCAAAATGCGCGACGCCGGGGGTAGCTAGCGGCGATCGAGGTGAAGGGCCAACCGGCAGAGGCTCGACGGCCGGAGGAATCCTCCGAGGAGGCGTGGTGGCTTCGAAAGTGGACGAAGGGAGGAGGGTCGAGCTAAGGCGTTTGAGTTACGGCGAGGTGTTTGGGTGGACTGTCTAAGCTGTATTGCGTTGTAGTATATATATATATGTATATCTTAAACAAATCTAAACCAAATGTATAAGATACACAAATATACACAAGAGTCACGAGAGCTTGGTGGAGCTGTTGGTTCACCATGTTCAGCATGTGATTTATTGGCAAGAGGGTTGCCCTACTCACGCAAGCTGAAAAGCTGCAGGAGAATCAACACTTAGTTGCAATGAACTGTAGAGTTGGATGCTGGAAATTTGGCCGTTTTTCTCAGAAAAGATGTAGTGGAAATCGGCATTTCTGTCCTTTGGTCAGACGCTCTGGAATGTAACGCTTGCCGGAAGACACGGAGCCAGGAACTGATCATTTTTGGAGTGTTTTGTTCGTTGAAAAGAGTTTTTTATACATCTAAGCTTTGAGTGCGACTGTCCATTCATTCGGAGAGAGATCGTCTTCCTAGCCTGCTCGAAGCGTATCAATCTAAGCTTTAGGATTGATGAAGCAACAATTTGGACGTCGGGAGGTGAGTATTTCAGATGGACGTTTCTCTTGAATTGCCCCCTTGATTCACTGATGGGACGGTTCCAAGCCAAATCCATCAGACTTGCTTCTTGCAGACTTCTCTGGCTCTAAGCCAGGAGAAGGAGCACTTCATTCAGGAGAGCCCACAATCTTGGGTGGAGCTGGGTCGCTTTGAGTCTATCTATTGTATTTTGCCATATGGGGTCCTGTTGAGGGAAGAGTTCCACACTAGCACTGCAATTTATCCAGGAAATCCTAGGGTGTGCTAATGCAGTGATGTTTCTGGTTCCTGCAGTCATGTGGTTGCTAGGGTTGACACGTCATGTCAGAGAGAAACTTTGACAAAAGAGTGTCAAGGGTTCATTCGAAGGGCTTTGCATTGTAAGCCCTTCGGCTCTGAAGCAGGTGATGAAGCCCTTCAGTCCCTACAAACCATCTTTTTGTAGCACAGCCCATGCAACGACTGATGAGATTGGTGATGATTTGGTGGGCCCAGTCCAAAAGGTCCAATGGTCAGAGCAACTATTGTTAAAAGAACTACTTCAGAAAACCAAGGCACCGAAAGGCACCAAAAGGTCAGAGATTGAATGATGGTTCGACTCCTTTTTCTGGGCCATGGCTGAATGTGAAATGATGTGGGCTTCACACAAATAGTTACTTATATATATATCTCCATGGGGCCATGGGTCCTTAGTCTCTCCAACACACACACACACTCTCCAACACACACACACACAATGTTTCCCATCGCTTCCTGTCGCTTCCGCACGAACTCGTGCTCTTCCCATCGCCCGAATCGCGAGAAGCGGCGGCTCTTGGTGATGGACAAGTCTTTAGACTTCGGCGTGCTCTTCCCCCAGGCGTGGTCGCCCTTTCGGTGGAAATCGGACTCCAGTGATCACCAATTCAATGTGATGCTTGAGTGTTTGGGTACAGGATTGGCTATTCGAGGCATTTCCCGGAAGGGACTTGGAAGTTTTGAGAAATGATGAATATGAATTGAGAGCTTGAATCGAAAGCCTTCCAAAATGCTCAGGTTTCTACATCTACTTGGGGCCGGTAGAACAGCTGAAAACTGCACCAACAATGAGTAATACCACAATACCATCATCCTGAAGACGTCCCTGGTTGTTGAGACATGGGTTTGGATGTATTTCTGGTAGCCCCAAATCCAGAGAAGGCGATGGCGATGGTGTCCAATAGGTTCTATGAGGTGAATTGCTTTTCGATCCACTCTGTGGGCCACCATAGACTCCTTTTCTCACCAGGGAATTCGCAAGAGTATGGAACTGCTCATTCCAATATTACTTAAACCCACTTCTAAACTTCTATTGTTCCTCCAAATCTCGGAGCTCTCGACTTCCTTGCCCCAAACAGTCCCTTCTCGGAACCCGCCGGTGGATCCGGGTGCGTTTCAGGTGGATGCATTAATCCTTCATGGTGGTTTGGGCGTGACCAGTGAAGCCTTGTTGGCCGCTTGGCGCTCCAAAGGATGGCCAAGCCTTGTTGGTCAGGGAATGTAAGGGAGGACTGAAAGGACGGGCTGGCACCGGAGGACGGATGGCCCAAACGTGCATTTAGCTTCCTCATGTGTTCTCATTGTGGAGGTATGTTGAGGTGTTTGTACGATGTATTTTTGTTGGAAGCGCGATGGCTAGAGATGGCTAGAGTTAGTATGAACATGTACTGAAGAAGCTCATCTTGTTTTGGGAACAGTGCTTTCGCCCAGCCTCTGACGATCAGCTGCTTGGTTCACTCTAATCGTCTCACTGCATTGGATGACTTCGTAGAACAGATGCCACCCCAGGGGCATACTCAACGTCTTAGTACAAGAATTGGATTACAACTCATGGGCATGCTTGTTGACCCTGATGGGTGCCAAGTGGTTGCAGAGGCGATGTATTACTACAAAATACCTACATATTACATGCGCGCAAAGCTATGTTGTCAGCGCACAAGAGGTCGCGTAACACTGTGCCGTCAGTTTCTGCATTTCCGTGATGCACAGACGTGGTTAAATGATGTTAAATAAGGCAGAACCCAAGCCATCGACCATCCCATGTGGATTTCGTCAATGTTGCAATACGTTCCCTCAAATCCGTTGTTGAATTTTGATATTCAACAAATTCACAACGCACATTTCCCACAACGGGCGCCTTTTTTGTACATTTAGATGACCCGAAAGTGCCCGAAAGGTTGGACTTACTGATCGACGGGGATTTGGCACAGGAAGTTAGTTTCCGCATTTTGGTCGATGTTGGGCGAACTGCTAGCAGGGTTGCCTCTATTTCAGGTCGTTTCCTCTTCCTCCGTGCGTTCTCGGCCCCCACCTCATCGACCAAGGCTGGAAAGCCTGCCATCACCAGCGGCATCCTTCTCATGGACCGCTTGACCGCTCGACCGCACGCGAGAGAACCGCGGCGAAACCCGAAAGAAATCCTCACTTCACGATCGACACAATTCGATCAACATGTGGAAGTAAGTAGGTGTCAGTAGCCCGGAGAGGGCATGTGGATCGCCCGGAGAGGCCCAGGAAAGGCTCATAGGGCGTTTTCTTTATCGGCGATGTGGTGTGAGCTCATGGTGACGATGGATGTTCCACCGAAGGCTGGCTGTTGGTTTTTCCATGTGTTTGTTGACTTCAAAGATCTAAGCATCAAAGACCCAGGTGTCATTCATTCTTTGGCATCCCTGCTTTCTGTGAGCATTTTTTTATGTGAGATGTTACCAACCTGTTTCTTGATGGAATTATCATTGTTCCTTCCCTGGAAGAATTCCTTCCGGCCGAACACGCTTTGAACCGATCATAACAGGACCAGCGCTACTGGGCAGCCCGGCTGAATGAACTGGGCTGTGGATCTCAGGCGCGGAGGACCAGGTTTCGCGCCATGGTTTTCGTGGATGTTTGGCTGCGAAACCTTTCGGGCCAGGGGGAGTTTCAGAAGAAACGAAACGAGAAAGAAACTCCCAAAAGTAAAAGTCACTGAACTCCGTGTTTTGTTGGAGTCTGTGCACTTGTGTTCGGTCGCGCCCACTGGTGCCAAACATGCCGTCTATAACGCCCTGCCGCTGGCGCCGCCGCCAGGGCATTAGTGTGGATGACTTGATGAGTGCGACTCCCGGGGTGGGTTGGGGTTCACCGATTGGGTCACCCCAGCAGGGCACGGTGGGAAATGTAACTGTACTACTTACTACAGTCATTACAGTCATTATAGGTTGGAGGTATGGCCCTCTATGACTATGTGACTATCTCGAGCCGTGGCAGATGTTTCAATGCCTGAAGCTGTGATTCGATTCTTTTGGAAGACCGCAGTGTCGGCTCCACACATTTTTGGTGTCTTCAGAGTCACCTTCGCCCCCACAGACCTACAGGATATTCTAAGATCCTTAGGGGATAGAGAGTCTTGGGATGGTTATTTGTCCCAATCAGTTTTTTGAGGATTTTCTTTGGAGATATCATGTGAGCACACGTGGATCATGGATGAATGTGCCAACATCAACTGGCACTTTGAGAATTGCCCAGTACAAGTTATAGCCAGACAGCACGATGTCCCCCTTTGAATCACCGGAGCTTCGACTCAGTGTCGTTCGTGAGGCAACAACGGCACCACGGTGGGGGCGCCTGAGCCACGGTGTGTGAAAATGAAGAACCCGCTGGTCGGTGAAGATGGGCCATGTTCCACTTCTCCCGAGTATGCACATCCTGGTCCCCCTGTTTGCTTTAGAGCAGTGAAAGATAGTGAAAGCAGTGAAGCATTGAGCTTGAGAGGAAAGTTGAATGTTATATAATATAAACATGCAAGACTCCAGGTGCACGAAGAATCCTTGCACATCCTTGCACCCTCCATAGCAGATAGCAGGGGTCGAAATCCAGTGTGAGGGCCCAGAGTTGCCACTACAGCATCCCACCTGGGAACAGGACAGGGATGGGTTGTCGACTTGTGTAGCCCATGATGCGAACATGGTATCATGCTGCTTTTGGGGTTGTTTTCATTCTAAGAAGTCCAGCACCTTTTTGCTTGAGGCCTAAAGTCAGACTTGGAACCCTTGTAATTACAATGAGCTTGCATCGAGGTGACAACTCTACAAACTCTTGACTATGGTGCAGAGGCACACCGCGGCCCCTTTTTGGGGCCAAAAACGACACATCAAAAGAACCACCTGTGGCCTGCCAATTCAGAAGCAGACCTCCCAGCAAACCGCGCCCTGCACAACTGAGCCACTGAGCCATTTCTTCTGAGTTGGTGAACCTCATCCATCAAGCGCTCCTACCTTCCATTGAAGGCCCAGCTGTCACGAAGCGGTGGCACCGGATGACGTCAAAAGGGATGACATGAAAAGGGACGCATGTGACGTGATGTGATGTTCTTGTTTCATAGTGTTTTGCTATTGACTTGAGGAAGATCATTGGATAGATGAGGTCAACGACACCGAAAGACGTGTTGGAAAACGTTGCAACTACAGTGTACTACAGTAAGCAACAACTGAAACAACAGAAACAACATGAACAAAGTTCTTTGGGGCTCATGCGCATGGCCATGTTCTATGTCTTGAGGCTTGAGATCCCTTCATCTGAACAGCCGAAGAATGTTGGGCACCAGAACTCTGCACAAGTTTCCCTGTGGTACAAGGCCTAGCTGGATGTACATTCAGTCCAACTATCGAATCAACAAAGGATCAAATCCGTTAGGGAGGATTACGTGTACCCTAGAGCCTGTGGCGATACTCTCGGAGTTTGGTGTTTAGTACGTTCAGCTTCATAGACTTTGGGTGCTTTTTCATGCTTTTTCAAGGTTACCTACCAACTACCATTCACCTCGCCACTGCTAATCTGATCGCTGGCTGTGTGTTGTAATTAGATGTGTTTAGATCTTTGTGTCGCACAAGCACTGAGCGGTGGCTACCCTGTTGATTGCTGTTGCCTTGTGATGGATCTTTCCATATCTTTCCACCAGCGACACATCTTTGGGCTTTCCCAGGTTTCCAATTTCCCAGAACTCATCGCGGGTGTTGCTGGTCAACGTTGCCCAGGTGGTAGCTCCTGGATGGCACGCGCCAAAGAAGTGCAAGACCAGATCCAGGCCATTTTGGAGGGATGACCCATCGTAACTTTGAAGGATGCTTTGAAAATAATCTTAAGCTTCCACCAGTCCGGCTTTAGGTTCGTCATGAAACTAGGGGGAGTGATCCCTTCTACCATTTTCTACCACAACTTCTGAGTGTTGGACACTGGGCAACTCCAGTAGTTTGAGGCTCATTGTTGCTTCCCACAAAGTTTGTGGTACGAAATTGATGGAAAGCAACACCTGGGCCCGGGGGGAGCATCCAAGATCAGAAGGAAGATATGACATATGGAAAGACTTCCCTCAGCGAAGTCGGGCAGCACCGAAGTAGGGCCCTCAAGGTGACGCCGTGGTTGCCAGTGGTGATTTGGCTGTGGGGTCAACACCCGGAGCCAGTCCCGGAGCCCTAAGTCTTCTTAGGTTGACCTCATTTCATGTTCTGTGGTCAATCGGGGTCCCCGAGCTTTGACCCACAGCCATCTCCCAACATTTAAAAAGTGAGTTAGCTAGCAGCCGCTGCTGTTCACGCCATGATGGTCCATGTTGGTTGGAGGCACACGTTGGTCGGTTATTACCTATTATGATTATGATCTATTACGCATATATAATGAATACCTCACTCAAAAATCATAACGGTGCCCTGTTTTCAACTATGCATCAAATCCTTTGTGGTCTTTTGTGTTGTTTGCATGTGTTGAGAACCACGACACATCCTCGCCTCGAGACAAATCAACGCGCCTGGAAATGGCACCAAGCAAACTCAATGGTGGTGATGTCCACCAACAACAATGCCTACCACTTGGCCATCCAACCATCCATGTCAATCTCATCATATCTCACAGGTCACGGTCCAAGTTCCAACGGATCGCGGGCCGTTCCGCACCGGGGAATTCTTTTTACGCCCGGGAACCGCAGGGCTATCGTGGCGCCTACGTCGTGATGGAGTTCAAGAGACTGGAGATCTGAGACAAACGACGAGGGGAGGAAAAGATGGATCGAAAAGGGATTCGAAAACACGATTCGACCAACGAAGGTCCCAGAATTCTTGAGCAGGTCCGTTGCCAATGCTTCACGACTCAAGACATCTCAAGACTCACGACGTTTGCGGAAACTCGCCGAATACAGCAATCGGATCCAAGCTTGTTGTGAGAGCTCTTGAAAAATTTCCATGTCCGGTGAACAGCTATTTCCTGGCATGGAGGGCTTCATCATCCCCGACATGATTCAATACCTAAAACATCCTTCAACTGATGTAAGACTGACTACTGTGTTGACATACTATTGCTCGGAGACATGTGTCATCATGTATCCTTCAGCGCCTTCCATCGCGGTGAAACCTTGCTCTGCCGCGAAACCCTGACAGGAGGAGTGGAGAGCTTATCGTCAAACCTTCACACGCCCCACCGAGGAGTACTTCCTCCGTGACAGGCGGTGGAGCCTTCCTCCGCTGTTTCGGTATTTCATGTCGTTGCGCTAGACAGTGCCGCATGTACTATTTTGATCTATTTTGTGAGACAGTGTGGGATTGTTGTTGAGCAGGTTCAAGCGACAGACGGGAAACAAATGCATGTAAAGACTCCTCACGTGTTGTGAGCATGTTCAAATCATATGGAAAATGGTTGAACATTTGATGAAAACTACTACCAGGTGCCCTTCGAGAAGGTGCGTGGACAGATTCCTCAACGATAAGCTTTCCCTGCGACAAGCCAATTTGTGGGAAATACCGCTAAGACCTCTCTGAAACAGGGGCTTCTCAGAGTGACTTTCCCTGGAGCTTGTTTAGATATGAGTGTCTGTCTATATGAATCAATCTTTTGGTGCTAGTTGCATGATGCTTAGGCCCTGTGATTCCGAATCCTGCCATCCGGCACCTGCAATATTGGATGGATTTCGATCACACCCATTCATTTGGTGTCTCAGCAGAGTCTGGGAAGGATCGTAGCACCAACATCACGCTTATGTGGTGTGCCATCCCGCACCAACACACCTGAACTGAGCTGCCAGGCACGGACAAATCACGGGTTTCACGACCCTAGATGAACGCGACTTGGCGATGCCGATGCCGAACCGTGTAAAAACCCTTGGTCCGTGGCAGGTCTTTGGTTGCCCTTGGTGAAGAAGTGGCGGTTATATAGTTGTTTTCATTTGCTTCCTAAACTCATTGGCTGGTGAGTTGGTTGGTTACTTCACAGGTGTGGGAGAAGCCCTTGCAGGGAGGTACAAGCCAATGCTGGCGGTGTCAGTGCAAGCATCGAACGAAACGTTCGAGACATGTCAAGTCCAATAGAGCACAGTATACAGAGTGGCTCAAAACTAGATTATTGACCCCAAACACGGGAATCAAACACGGGAATGTGCATACTCTCAGGCAAGTTCTCAGATATGCAGATATGGATCTTCAAGTGAGGCATAGTTCTGGAAATGAGAAAGTCCTTGCAGGTGCAGTGAGCCGAGTCTCCAACCCAGACCCTTAAATCCAATCCACTGCGACCGAGACTCTGGACCGTCGAATCCACGAGACTCTCGTTCATACCCCCTGAGACGACGTGGACAACGGCGAGGCCTTACCGGAGGAAGCCGAAGCATGCGAGGATGTGGAGCTTCACCGGTTACGAGGATGGTCACCATGCGATGGTTCTTAGTTCCATTCAGATTGACCTGTATTAAGAAGAAGTATACCACCGTTCGGTAACCCTAGAATGCAAGCCTAGTATCACTAATGCAAAGCAGGACTGAAACCCTCAATTGCAGGGGAATCATCCAAGAAACCTTAAGGGTTCGGATCGTTCAGACTTGCAACTCGACTTTTGGCTCAAGCGAGAGGAAAAAGGGCGCCTGGGCGTTCGGTCTCGCGTTTTTGTGGTTATCAGCCGTAGGCTCCCCAGCCTACGGC